GTCTCTCACAGTTGAAGTGTACCTATGATAAAAATGACAGACCTCTACATGCTTTGTAAGTAGGAAAACCTGCAAAATCGGCAGTGTATCAAATACTTGTTCTCCCCACTGTATATGGAACGCTAGGGCTATGCTTGCAGTGTAGTGTCCCAATTAACCTACTGCTTAGAAATCATTCAGCTCTTGTGGTCACTTCTTTGACGATGATGGCTTTTTGAGAACATTTCATCAGAGCTGTCTGCAATGAGCTCATGTGAAGGCAACAGGGAGGGAGGGAATCCCATCTCCCTTCATGAGTATCTGGGACTAGCAGCATGTTTACTAACTCCCTGTGGCTGTCCCTGGCCATGTGGTGTTGGTTACCACTGCAAATGCACAGTGGCTACGGGCCATGCTGAGGGAGCCTCCTACAGCCCAGTAGACATCTGTGTCTGTGGTGGAGCTAATTTGAGCTTCATGTCGTAGCGTAGCGGCTAGGTTAGTCAGGTCTGCCTCCCTCCCAGGCCCAGACAGATCCCTGACCAATGGGACAGACTAATCCTAGGCAGGGTCTGATCAGGCTAATCTGCCCACATGACCTGCCTCTTAACTGAACTCCCTCCCCTCCCCCACCCCACGACCACAACAAAACGGTAGTTAACTGTATAGGAGATGCCAATGCTACACACCCCCTTAACCTCACCCTTGGTGGGGTCAGGATGATAACAACACAACACTCCACCTATAGGAGATGCCCAAGCACCCTCAGCCGTCCTACCCACCGTCTTCACCCAGCATTGGTGTTAACAAGCCACCTCGTTACAGGAAACGGCTAAGCCCCCCTTTGAACCCTCTCCTCCCTGCGATGGTGATTAGGCTGCTGCACAACGCCCATATAATTCCCCAGCCCAGCCAGCTCAGGGATTGTCTTACTCCCACCACAAGCACTGAAAGTGTTGTTTTTGTCTGGCAGAGGAACTATTTTGGACTCTGTCAGCACCATTCACTGGGCTTGTGGGATAGAGAGGACAGGAGGAGGTGTGTGGGCTGTTGATCCTCCTCCTTGAAGTAAACAAGTACTTATGCAGACATGCATACATGCAGAGTAGAGACACAGACACACACACACCTTAGTCTTGCTCTCAGTGTCGCCTCAGGTTCACGAAGAGTCTATCCTCTTGAATACGCGATGGTGACTAATTGCTCACATTTGTTTTTTTACACTGTTTTTTATAAAGTGTGTGGAAGGGGGACATTTCTTCCCACATTTTAACAGTGATGGTTTATGAATGACTCATTAATGAATGACTCATTCAGGAGTATTGATGTTTCCCTTTTGGTGTCTGCAAACACAAAACTCAAAACTTTGTGTCTGTCAGAGTCATACTGTGTACACTGTACACCAGAGGTTGGTTGATCCTGCCAGTCGGTGCCTCAGGTCCGGGTTGTGAGAGCAAACACAAACAGACAGACGTGACCTGGTGACATCACAAGTACAGGCCAGCCTGTGTTTCAGCGCTGGGTAAACACACTCGGAGGAGAGAAGAGAGGAGAGGAGGAACGGAAGAGGAAGAGGTGAGAAGGCTCGGTTCATCACAGCCACACACAATAGCTCTGCTCAGAAAAAGGGATGTACTGACTCTTGCACTCCTCCTCTGTACCTCAGCCTTATTACCTCTTTCATTGTTCTCTCCCTCCTTCTTAATCCCTTTCCCTTTCATCTCATCACTCCTCTTCCCGTCCCTGCAACTCTGCCCTCAAGTCGGACCATTTAAAGCATATTGTGATGATGATGGATATGGAAAGACTGAGAAAGAGCCTACTTAAAAACCGCCAAGAGCTCCGAATTTTAGCCACCAAACCTCATAAATGTTTCATAGTATCATAAATGTTACCATAAGCATATACAGTGCATTCTGAAAGTATTCAGACCATTGACTTTTGCCACATTTTGTTATGTTACAGCCTTATTCTAAAATGGATTAAATTGTTTTTTCTTCCTCATTAATCTACACACAATACCCCATAATGACAAAGCAAAAACAGTTTAAAATAAATAAATTGGTAATTTATTAAAAATACATAACTGAAATATTACATTTACATAAGTATTCAGACCCTTTACTCAGTACTTTGTTGAAGGACCTTTGGAAGCGATTACAGCCTCGAGTCTTCTTGGTTATGACGCTACAAGCTTGGCACACCTGTATTTAGGGAGTTTCTCCCATTCTTCTCTGCAGATCCTCTCAAGCTCTGTCAGGATGGATGTGGAGCGTTGCTGCACAGCTATTTTCAGGTTTTTCCAGAGATGTTCGATAGGGTTCAAGTCCAGGCTATGGCTGGGCCACTCAAGGACATTCAGAGACTTGTCCCAAAGCCACTCATGCAATGTCTTGGCTGTGTGCTTAGGGTTGTTTGTCTGTTGGAAGGTGAACCTTCTCCACAGTCTGAGGTCCTGAGCGCTCTGGAGCAGGTTTTCATCAAGGATCTCTCTGTACTTTGCTCCGTTCATCTTTCCCTCGATCCTGACTAGTCTCTCAGTCCCTGCCGCTGAAAAACATCCCCACAGCATGATGCAGCCACCACCATGCTTCACCGTAGGGATGGTGCCAGGCTTCCTCCAGACGTGATGCTTGGCATTCAGGCCAAAGAGTTCAATCTTGGTTTCATCAGACCAGAGACTCTTGTTTCTCATGGTCTGAGAGTCCTTTAGGTGCCTTTTGGCAAACTCCAAGTGGGCTGTCATGTGCCTTTTACTGAGGAGTGGCTTCCGTCTGGCCACTCTACACTAAAGGCCTGATTGGTGGAGTGCTGCAGAGATGGTTGTCATTCTGGAAGGTTCTCCCATCTCCACAGAGGAACTCTGGAGCTCTGTCAGAGTGACTATCGGGTTCTTGGTCACTTCCCTGACCAAGGCCCTTCTCCCCGATTGCTCAGTTTGGCCGGGCGGCCAGCTCTAGGAAGAGTCTTGGTGGTTCCAAACTACTTCCATTTAAGAATGATGGAGGCCACTGTGTTCTTGGGGACCTTCGATGCTGCAGACATTTTTTGGTACCCTTTCCCAGATCTGTGCCTTGACACAATCCTGTCTCGGAGCTCTACGGATAATTCCTTTGACCTCATGGCTTGGTTTTTGCTCTGACATCCACTGTCAACTGTGGGACCTTATATAGACAGTTGTGTGCCTTTCCAAATCATGTCCAATCAATTTAATTTACCACAGGTGGACTCCAATCAAGTTGTAGAAACATCTCAAGGATGATCAATGGAAACAGGATGCACCTGAGCTCAATTTCAAGTCTCATAGCAAAGGGTCTGAATACTTATGGAAATTTTTTACATTGCAAACATTTCTAAAAACCTGTTTTCACTTTGTCATTATGGGGTATTGTGTTTAGATTGATGAGGATTTTTATTTATTTAATCAATTTTAGAATAAGGCTGTAACGTAACAAAATGTGGAAAAATGGAAGTGGTCTGAATACTTTCCGAATGCACTGGACACTGAGGGTACAAATCATTAAGGACACCTTCCTAATATTGAGTTGCACCCGCCTTCTATTCCCTCAGAACAGTCTCAATTCGTTGGGGCATGGACTCTACAAAGTGTCGAAAGCATTCCACGGGGATGCTGTCCCATGTTGACGCCAATGCTTTCCACAGTTGTGTCAAGTTTGCTGGAGGTCCTTTGGGTGGTGGACCAATCTTGAAACACACGGGAAACTGTTGAGCATGAAAAACCTAGCAGCGTTGAAGTTCTTTACAAAAACCGGTGCACCTGGCACCTACTACCATACACCGTTCAAAGGCACTTAAATCTTGTGTCTTGCCCAATCACCCTCTGAATGGCACACATACACAATCCATGTCTCAATTGTCTCAAGGCTTAAAAATCATTATTTAACCTGTCTCCTTCCCTTCATCTACACTGATTGAAGTGGATTTAACAAGTGACATCAATAAGGGATCGTAGCTTTTACCTGGATTCACCTGGTCAGTCTACAGTATGTCATGGAAAGAGCAGGTGTCCTTAGTGTTTTGTACACTCAGTGTATATATATTATTCCCCTTTATCATAATTGGAGGGATTGGAGTCCCAGACACTTGTGCAGAGCGTGTGGAGACCCAGTGGAGGGTGGGCTTCGACTGAGCTGTATCCTATACTCCTGTCTTAACTCTCCTCAAATGGGATGACTGTCAGCAAATCTATTCCCCTTCCACCATGGTGATAGTGGAGACATCTGCATACTGTGTGTGGAAATCGAGAGAGTAAAGAGGTAGGGCCCAATAAAGCCCTTTGAATTGAATTGGTAGGAAAGGGAGAGCACTGGAGGATAAATTTGACTTTGACTAGAAGAGAGGGTCTTGATCGTAAATATATCTAGTGTGGGAGAGTGATAAAACCAGTGAGGGGAGGTGGTTGGGGGAGGAGCCCGCTCATAAACTTCTATTTTCTTGTCCCCCTGCAGATCTGCTGAAGTGTGAACTTTCACCTCTCTCCCCTTTGGCCTGTTCTGTAAAGAGCTTCTGTTGTTGAGGAGCGAAGACTCGGCTGTACTTGGCTGTGCAGGAGACACCAGTGAAGGTCGACACACTTGCAGCAGCAACAACAACTACCATCAACAAGGCCCCTAGTGTCAGACGTCTGTGACATTCCACAAACGAGTCCAAGAAAGAGGGTAGGAAGGAGACTGAGAGGGAGTGTGAAAGCTAGAGGATGAGTGTTGTACCCTGAGAAGATTCCACTCACTTTTTCTCTCTGAAGACTGGACTAGACAGGACACACCCTGTCCAATATTGCAATAGGAACATTAGTCTCTGGACTCCATCAGACAAAACAAACCATTGGAAAAACTAACCACAGTTGTATTGATTTTTTGTCCCTCTAGCCCTTTTTCGACACCCACTGATTTTCACTCAGTTTTTTTCTGCCACTCTGCAAAGATGGCCCTGTGTATTTTGTCATGGGGGCGGACTGTTGAGTGTTGATCCCGGGGAAGAGGTGACTCACAGCCAGGACCATGTCTTGGAAGAGGAACTACTTTGCGTCCGGAAGCGGTGGGCTGCAGGGGATCTTTACCCCACGCACCATGACATCCATCGCCCCCAGTAAAGGACTCAGCAATGAGCCGGGCCAAAACAGCTGCTTCCTCAACAGCGCATTGCAGGTAGGGATACAAACACACACACACGCCTGCTTGCACGCGCACACAGCACATTTTTTATCTGAATTTTAAATTCAAGACTTTCTTAGAAATTACAGTTAAGTCGGAAGTTTACATACACTTAGTTTGGAGTCATTAAAACTTGTTTTTCAACCACTCCACAAATTTCTTGTTAACAAACTATAGTTTTGGCAAGTCGGTTAGGACATGCATGACACAAGTAATTTTTCCAACAATTGTTTACAGACAGATTATTTCACTTATAATTCACTGTATCACAATTCCAGTGGGTCAGAAGTTTACATACACTAAGTTGACTGTGCCTTTAAACAGCTTGGAAAATTCCAGGAAATGATGTCATGGCTTTAGAAGCTTCTGATAGGCTAATTGACATCATTTGAGTCAATTGGAGGTGTACCTGTGGATGTATTTCAAGGCCTACCTTCAAACTCAGTGCCTCTTTGCTTGACATCATGGGAAAATCAAAAGAAATCAGCCAAGACCTCAGAAAAAAAATTGTAGACCTCCACAAGTCTGGTTCATCCTTGGGAGCAATTTCCAAATGCCTGAAGGTACCACGTTCATCTGTACAAACAATAGTACGCAAGTATAAACCCCATGGGACCACGCAGCCGTCATACTGCTCAGGAAGGAGACATGTTCTGTCTCCTAGAGATGAACGTACTTTGGTGCGAAAAGTGCAAATCAATCCCAGAACAACAGGAAAGGACCTTGTGAAGATGCTGGAGGAAACAGGTACAAAAGTATCTATATCCACAGTAGAACGAGTCCCACATCGACATAACCTGAAAGGCCGCTCAGCAAGGAAGAAGCCACTGCTCCAAAACCACCATAAAAAAGCCTGACTATGGTTTACAACTGCACATGGGGACAAAGATCGTACCTTTTGGAGAAATGTCCTCTGGTCTGATGAAACAAAAATAGAACTGTTTGGCCATAATGACCATCGTTATGTTTGGAGGAAAAAGGGGGAAGCTTGCAAGCCGAAGAACACCATCCCAATCGTGAAGCACTGGGGTGGCAGCATCATGCTGTGGGGGTGCTTTGCTGCAGGAGGGACTGGTCCACTTCACAAAATAGATGGCATCATGAGGAAGGAAAATTATGTGGATATATTGTAGCAACATCTCAAGACATCAGTCAGGAAGTTAAAGCTTGGTCGCAAATGGGTCTTCCAAATGGACAATGACCCCAAGCATACTTCCAAAGTTGTGGCAAAATGGCGTAAGGACAACAAAGCCAAGGTATTGGAAAGCCCTGACCTCAATCCTATAGAACATCTGTGGGCAGAACTGAAAAGGCATGTGCGAGCAAGGAGGCCTACAAACCTGACTCAGTTACACCAGCTCTGTCAGGAGGAATGGGCCAAAATTCACCCAACTTATTGTGGGAAGCTTGTGGAAGTCTACCCGAAAATGTTGACCCAAGTTAAACAATGTAAATGCAATGCTACCAAATACTAATTGAGTGTATGTAAACTTCTGACCCACTGGGAATGTGATGAATGAAATAAAAGCTGAAATTAATAATTCTCTCTACTATTATAAATTCTCTCTACTATTATAAATAAAGTGGTGATCCTAACTGACCGAAGACAGGGAATTTGTACTAGGATTAAATGTCAGGAATTGTGAAAAACTGAATTTAAATGTATTTGGCTAAGGTGTATGTAAACTTCCGACTTCAACTGTATATGTGACCCACCAAAATAATGTTAAACTAACACTTCTCAAAGTGTTCACAAACTAACACCCCTAGAGTGTTGGTACCTAACACCATGGGTGTTGCAAATTCCGACTTTAGTGTTAGGGAATAACTCATGTAGTGTTACAGTATTTTTTTTGGTGGGGGAGGTTCTTTTAACGTTGTAGGTTGTAAAGCCTTATTTGCATATTTCCCAGCATGCCTTTCAATTGAACATGAGCGATACCCACCCATGACTGTGTTTGTTATTGACAGAGACATAGTTGTTGTATTCAATAACTTTTATTCCTGAAGCCTTCACCAAGTGAGTGACTGCCTAAGTGAATGTGTTTGAGTTAAAAGTCAACCCTTTATATATTATGCATTTCATAAGGCCTTTAGTTATTGCCTTGTTATCCTCAACATTTTGCTCTTAAAATCTTGGTTTATGTGCCACATCAGACCTGCAAGTCACAATAAACTGGTTTGTGAAGTGATTATTAATTCCTTATGGAATCCAGCCAGAGGGAGGACATCCAACAATTTGAATATTTTATCACCCACAACCTGCATTCAGAATGACTGCTATTGTTAAGGACACAACAAACAAGACTACCTAAACCATCTAAACTGGAACAACCATCTCAGTAACGGGTGCAATAAATCCAACCCCTTACAGATTGGATTAGTTTAGAAAAGTTATTTATCTTTGTATAGTATAAGATCAATTAATCAGTCAATATGCATGCAGAAATATAGATATTAAAACAAATTATTCAAAAAATCTACCTGCAACAAAGCATTCTGGGAAAAATTATAGAGGCCCCTCCCACGTCTTTTTCACTCAGAGAGTTAACGGAAATGAACTCAACACAGTCGAGTAACAACAACACCACACAGTGTTGACTCCACTGTGATTCAAATAACACTTAATTTATTCACTATATGTGGGGGCAATTTCAATCCCACTGGTGTTAACCCCACCAGAATCAACACTTGGGCTGACCCCATTTATTTGTTTGTCGATAGGCTGTTGGTCGACCGAGATTTCTTTAGTCGAGCAGTAGCAAAAAAAAAAAAAGTAATGTCTGAGTGGACTAATCCATTGTGGAGGCTGTGGGGATGGCACAGTCCATCACTCTAAGACATGTGCTACTGAAATTGAATATGGATAAGGACAATGGTGATAATAATATTATTTTATAAGAAATGCGCTTTCTCACGCGTTTGATAGCGGTCGCTGTCCGCGGTTCAGAAACATCAGTGTGCTGTTGAATTGGCGCCTTTCCCTAGACCATGTTGCTGTGTGCATAATAGCAATATTAACCAGCATATTGGTGTTGAGAACAATGCGGCGGAAGCAGCAGCGGGGTTAGGAGACGAGAAAACAGCCCATGCCTTAATTGTCTAAGAAAAGGAGAGAGGAAACCCCAACTTAGTAGCCTAACTGTTAAATGTGCCTGGCTTTATTTATCATCCATATATATCTACAGAAACAAGACAGATCCTGCTTCTGTTGCCTGTTTGTTTAATAGCCTACTGATTCCGTGAGCACCAAGCCTCATGCAACCACAACATGTCGGATAAACAATATCGCAAATTCGGCTATTTTTTATCTTTGCTATGCTGTAATGAAGGCTTTACACTTTTTTTGTTAGAACAGCCTTTCTGGTATTATTTAGCTCAGTTGGTAGAGCATGGCGCTTGCAACGCCAGGGTTGTGGGTTTGATTCCCACGGGGGGCCAGTATGAAAAAATTAATAAAATAAAAATGTATGCACTCACTAACTGTAAGTCGCTCTGGATAAGAGCGTCTGCTAAATGACAAAAATGTAAAATGTAAATGTTGTTTACACCGTTCCAAATTGTCAGAAAAATAATATTTATAATAATAACCCTCCTTTTTCTTGATCTCCTTCTTATTGTTATTATTACTACTATTATTATGTTCATCATTATACTAATAAGAAATGTCATTATCATTACTAGGTTTAGTATAGCAGCCTTTTATAACCACCATCGAGCTGTAGGCCTAAATGTGCATCCTTTTTAGTCTTAATACCGTAACTTATAAGCCTATATTTCAATATTTATATAGGCTACTGTATCAATCAATCATTACTTTATTAATGTCATCACAAAGCATACAGTGAGGGAAAAAAGTATTTGATCCCCTGCTAATTTTGTACGTTTGCCCACTGACAAAGAAATAATCAGTCTATAATTTTAATGGTAGGTTTATTTGAACAGTGAGACAGAATAACAACAAAAAAATCCAGAAAAACGCATGTCAAAAATGTTATAAATTCATTTACATTTTAATGAGGGAAATAAGTATTTGACCCCCTCTCAATCAGAAAGATTTCTGGCTCCCAGGTGTCTTTTATACAGGTAACGAGCTGAGATTAGGAGCACACTCTTAAAGGGAGTGCTCCTAATCTCAGTTTGTTACCTGTATAAAAGACACTTGTCCACAGAAGCAATCAATCAATCAGATTCCAAACTCTCCACCATGGCCAAGACCAAAGAGCTCTCCAAGGATGTCAGGGACAAGATTGTAGACCTACACAAGGCTGGAATGGGCTACAAGACCATCGCCAAGCAGCTTGGTGAGAAGGTGACAACAGTTATTCGCAAATGGAAGAAACACAAAAGAACTGTCAATCTCTCTCGGCCTGGGGCTCCATGCAAGATCTCACCTCGTGGAGTTGCAATGATCATGAGAACGGTGAGGAATCAGCCCAGAACTACACGGAAGGATCTTGTCAATGATCTCAAGGCAGCTGGGACAGTAGTCACTAAGAAAACAATTGGTAACACACTACGCCGTGAAGGACTGAAATCCTGCAGCGCCCGCAAGGTCCCCCTGCTCAAGAAAGCACATATACAGGCCCGTCTGAAGTTTGCCAATGAACATCTGAATGATTCAGAGGAGAACTGGGTGAAAGTGTTGTGGTCAGATGAGACCAAAACCGAGCACTTTGGCATCAACTCAACTTGCCGTGTTTGGAGGAGGAGGAATGCTGCCTATGACCCCAAGAACACCATCCCCACCGTCAAACATGGAGGTGGAAACATTATGCTTTGGGGGTGTTTTTCTGCTAAGGGGACAGGACAACTTCACCACATCAAAGGGACAATGGACGGGGCCATGTACCGTCAAATCTTGGGTGAGAACCTCCTTCCCTCAGCCTGGGCATTCAAAATGGGTCGTGGATGGGTATTCCAGCATGACAATGAACCAAAACGGCCAAGGCAACAAAGGAGTGGCTCAAGAAGAAGCACATTAAGGTCCTGGAGTGGCCTAACCACTCTCCAGACCTTAATCCCATAGAAAATCTGTGGAGGGAGCTGAAGGTTCGAGTTGCCAAACGTCAGCCTCGAAACCTTTATGACTTGGAGAAGATCTTCAAAGAGGAGTGGGACAAAATCCCTCCTAAGATGTGTGCAAACCTGGTGGCCAACTACAAGAAACGTCTGACCTCTGTGATTGCCAACAAGGGTTTTGCCAACAAGGGTTTTGCCACCAAGTACTAAGTCATGTTTTGCAGAGGGGTCAAATACTTATTTCCCTCATTAAAATGCATATCAATTCATAACATTTTTGACATGCGTTTTTCTGGATTTTTTTGTTGTTATTCTGTCTCTCACTGTTCAAATAAACCTACCATTAAAATTATAGACTGATCATTTCTTTGTCAGTGGGCAAACGTACAAAATCAGCAGGGGATCAAATACTTTTTTCCCTCACTGTATGAGTCATTCCTTATTTGAAATGCAATCAAGCATTTTAGCTTTAAAATAAAATAACAAAGCGAACCTTGAATAATTAGTGTAAACAATAAATAAACTGTTCCATTTCGGCAATTGCATTCACGAATGCATGTGACTGTTTTCAGTCTTTGCTGTAATAAAGGCTTAAAAAACAACAACAACAACAACAACATTAAAACAGACTCTCTGGTACGCATATAATGTATTTAGTGTTATTTACATGGTTCCAAATGGTCAGAAAAATTATATTGTAATCTAACAGCACCTGTTTGGCACACATAATATGCACGCAGCGCTTGCTCCTTACCTTATTTTCTTGATCTCCAGTATTTTACACAACTACTCAAATTTATTCCACACATCTGACTTCCCCTTTACCTCCTGAGCAACCATTAAACATTCCCCCGTATGGAGTTTATTTGTCATGTCCTCTGCATCCATTTTGTTGTCACATGTGACAGTGTTTGGAGATTGTTATATCCAATTTATTGACGTGATTATGATATGCTATAGGTCCTATTGGTCACGTGCATGAGATGCATACATGTGTCACGTAAAGAGAGCAAGGGTTAAGGCAATAGGGAATTGTTTTCCTAAACATAACTTTTCAGTCAGAAATGGCTGTAATTATGTTGCAGCTTCAGCAACCCGGACAGCGTGATAAACACTGTTGATGTTCTGTGGTGGTCGCTGCAGCAGGGAGGAGAGAGAGACAATGGGTGCTAGTCACACAGTCACTAGCGGTTTTTCTTTTTACACAGTCTGAGCCCGGCCCGGCACAATCAAATCAATTGCGGTCGGACTCCCTCTAGTCATTTGTGTGTCTTAATGATTTCCTCAAACAGTGCACTTAAAGCATCAGACAAGCTCAGTGCATATAGTTGATTTTATTAAAACACATAGGATGTGTCTATGGAAAAATACACGTTTAGAAATTTTGACCAATCGATTGGTTGAAAGAACAGACGACTCTCGACAGCCTTAATCAACACTCAGATATAACACAACACTTTTTACCTTAACACCAAGATTCTAACACTTGTACATTTGCTGTGTAGGCTACTTTAGGCTATCTGATAGGCTTATCAGGGGCTATACCATGGCAAAGCAAACCATGGCAAAGTTGAATTACAATCATAAACTGAGATTTTAATGAAATGATACAGTGCCTTGCAAAAGTATTCATCCCCCTTGGCGTTTTTCCTATTTTGTTGCATTACAACCTGTAATTTAAATTTATATTTATTTGGATTTCATGTAATGGACATACACAAAATAGTCCAAATTGGTGAAGTGGAATGAAAAAAATAACTTGTTTCAAAGAATTCAAAAAAATAAATAACGGAAAAGTGGTGCGTGCATATGTATTTACCCCCTTTGCTATGAAGGACCTAAATAAGATCTGGTTCAACCAATTACCTTCAGAAGTCACATAATTAGTTAAATAAAGTCCACCTGTGTGCAATCTAAGTGTCACATGATCTGTCACATGATCTCAGTATATATACACCTGTTCTGAAAGGCCCCAGAGTCTGCAACACCACTAAGCAAGGGGCACCACCAAGCAAGCGGCACCATTAAGACCAAGGAGCTCTCCGGTCAGGGACAAAGTTGTGGAGAAGTACAGATGAGGGTTGGGTTATAAAAAAATATCAGAAACTTTGAACATCCCACAGAGCACCATTAAATCCATTACTAAAAAATTGAAAGAATATGGCACCACAACAAACCTGCCAAGAGAGGGCCGTCCACCAAAACTCACAGACCAGGCAAGGAGGGCATTAATCAGAGAAGCAACAAAGAGACCAAAGATAACCCTGAAGGAGCTGCAAAGCTCCACAGCGGAGATTGGAGAATCTGTCCATAGGACCACTTTAAGCCGTACACTCCACAGCGCTGGGCTTTATGGAAGAGTGGCCAGAAAAAAGCCATTGCTTAAAGAAAAAAATAAGCAAACACGTTTGGTGTTCACCAAAAGGCATGTGGGAGACTCCCCAAACATATGGAAGAAGGTACTCAGGTCAGATGAGACTAAAATTGAGCTTTTTGGCCATCAAGGAAAATGCTACAGTTGAAGTCGGAAGTTTACATACACCTTAGCCAAATACATTTAAACTCAGTTTTTCACAATTCCTGACATTAATCCTAGTAAAAATTCCCTGTCTTGGGTCAGTTAGGATCACCACTTTATTTTAAGAATGTGAAATGTCAGAATAATAGTAGAGAGAAATTATTTATTTCAGCTTTTATTTATTTCATCACATTCCCAGTGGGTCAGAAGTTTACATACACTAAATTAGTATTTGGTAGCATTACCTTGAAATTGTTTAACTTGGGTCAAACGTTTCGGGTAGCCTTCCACAAGCTTCCTACAATAAGTTGGGTTAATTTTGGCCCATTCCTCCTGACAGAGCTGGTGTAACTGAGTCAGGTTTGTAGGCCTCCTTGCTCACACACGCTTTTTCAGTTCTGCCCACACATTTTCTATAGGATTGAGGTCAGGGCTTTGTGATGGCCACTCCAATACCTTGACTTTGTTGTCCTTAAGCCATTTTGCCACAACTTTGGAAATATGCTTGGGGTCATTGTCCATTTGGAAGACCCATTTGCGACCAAGCTTTAACTTCCTGACTGATGTCTTGAGATGTTGCTTCAATATATCCACATAATTTTCCTTCCTCATGATGCCATCTATTTTGTGAAGTGCACCAGTTCTTCCTGCAGCAAAGCAACCCCACAGCATGATGTTGCCACCCCCGTGCTTCACGGTTGGGATGGTATTCTTCGGCTTGCAAGTTCCCCCCTTTTTCCTCCAAACATAACGATGGTCATTATGGCCAAACAGTTATATTTTTGTTTCATCAGACCAGAGGACATTTCTCCAAAAAGTACGATCTTTGTCCCCATGTGCAGTTGCAAACCGTAGTCTGGTTTTTTTATTGCAGTTTTGGAGCAGTGGCTTCTTCCATGCTGAGCGGCCTTTCAGGTTATGTCAATATAGGACTCATTTTACTGTGGATATAGATACTTTTGTACCTGTTTCCTCCAGCATCTTCACAAGGTCTTTTGCTGTTGTTCTGGGATTGATTTGCACTTTTCGCACCAAAGTACATTCATCTCTAGGAGACAGAACGCGACTCCTTCCTGAGCGGTATGACGGCTGCGTGGTCCAATGGTGTTTATACTTGCGTACTATTGTTTGTACAGATGAATGTGGTACCTTCAGGCGTTTGGAAATTGCTCCCAAGGATGAACCAGACTTCTGGAGGTCTACAATTTTTTGGCTGATTTCTTTTGATTTTCCCATGATGTCAAGCAAAGAGGCACTGAGTTTGAAGGTAGGCCTTGAAGTACATCCACAGGTACACTTCCAATTGACTCAAATGATGTCAGTTAGCCTATCAGAAGCTTCTAAAGCCATGACATCATTTTCTGGAATTTTCCAAGCTGTTTAAAGGCACAGTCAACTTAGTGTGTGTAAACTTCTGACCCACTGGAATTGTGGTACAGTGAATTATAGGTGAAATTATCTGTCCGTAAACAATTGTTGGAAAAATTACTTGTGTCATGCACAAAGTAGATGTCCTAACCGACTTACCAAAACTTCTTGTTAGCAAGAAATGTGTGGAGTGGTTGAAAAACGAGTTTTAATGAGTCCAACCTAAGTGTATGTGAACTTACGACTTCAACTGTATATCTGGCACAATCCTAACACCTCTCATTACCCTGAGAACACAATCCCCACAGTGAAGCATGGTGGTGGCAGCTTCATGCTGTGGGGATGTTTTTCATCGGCAGGGACTGGGAAACTGGTCAGAATTGAAGGAATGATGGATGGCGCTAAATACAGGGACATTTTTGAAGGAAACCTGTTTCAGTCTTCCAGAGATTTGAGACTGGGACGGAGGTTCACCTTCCAGCAGGACAATGACCCTAAGCATACTGCTAAAGCAACACTCGAGTAGTTTAAGGGGAAACATTTAAATGTCTTGGAATGGCCTAGTCAAAGCCCAGACCTCAATCCAAATGAGAATCTGTGGTATGACTTAAAGATTGCTGTACACCAGCGGAACCCATCCAACTTGAAGGAGCTGGAGCAGTGGCTAGATGTCAAGATCGAGCTTCTTGGTTACAGCAGAGACATTCAATACCCTCCTGGATCACGATCCCTGCTGCCTAAATTGTTTTGTGCATTTTTTTGTTTTTATAGCGCCCCTTGTGTGCACTTCCGGTAATACCATACACCCCGGTATGGTACAGAAACGGTATGACGGTATGACAATCTGGATACTGCCTAACCCTAGCACAGAATAAGGCACAATTGGCCAAAAAAATCTAAATACATTTAAGTTAGTGAAAGTGTTTCTTGCACAGAGATTTTGAGATCCTCTGTCCAACTGTCATAATAAAAATTCTCCTGTCGGATTTATCAATAATTATGCACATGCGCAAAGGGATTTATGTACAATCCTAGCAGTCAAACGAGTTAAATCGACATCCTTTGATGTAAAAAGATCTGTCGAGTTTAATAAGGCCGAATCATAATTTCTCTTGCGACGTATGCAAATTATTTTATTATGTCACATTAACTCACAATAATTATTATTTTGATGAAAACCGAATTTTGCTTCTGACGTCGCTACAAGTTATGTCGACATTCCTTCTTAATTTGCTCGATAACGTTATGGAAAAAAAGTTCGACTTCTGTGACACTTCAGGGGAGGAGCAGTGATTACGGACATTAACAGACAGTAATAGACTAGTTTTGTGTGGCACCCTTCGGAAACTATAGTGGAACACAACTCTCTGAAATACGTGTTAGTATCCTCACTTGACATGACAGAGAGGGGGAAACAATACATTTAATATAGCATAATACACACACCCAGTATGTTCTCAGAACTTCATGCGCCAAGTGTAGCTTTGAATATTTCAGTGTGGTAATGTTCTTCACTCGGAGTCTGCTTCCCATACTTTTAGCTTCTCATACCCACATTCTCAGATTAGTCCAATTTCCAAGCTGTCAGTGATATGAAACTAAGTGCTAGATCTCATTATAATCAGCCTTTGTTCCTGACTAATCCCTCTACTGATGCATTACTGTAATTACAGATTCTCATGTTGTCCCATACAATGTCAATCCATTGATAAATATAAAACAACAATAACAGCAATTCATTTGTTCTACAGGACAACTAACCATTATGTAGTCGTCTTCAAATTCAAGCACTGCAAGTCACCACACCAACAAGTCACCAAGTCATCCTTGAAGGACTCATGTTAAGTAAATTATTGGTGAAGTAGGCTTGAGTCTTATGAAATGCCTGGATAACCAGCCTCTCATTAGTGTACTCATAGACACTTTACTTGACGTAGTGGGTGGGAGACTCTTCTCCACTCTCTCATCCAGATGGACTCAGCCTGAAAAAGCACAGAAGTGGCTTAAGAAAGTGGTTCTACCATTGCCTTCTATAGGACTGCTGGCCAGGCACTGCCAGCTTGACTGGGAGGACCCACTCACACCGTACTTCGGGGGAAATGGGAAATGGGCGTTTCCATAGTTTAATATGGTGCCTGCCAGGCAGTCAGTCGCCTGTGACTTAAGCCAAGCTTTTAGTCCCCATAAACAATTGGCAGACAGATGATGCCACACACCATAATTACCTAGCCAAACAACCTGTCATTAGTTTTCACTCTATTTTTGGATTACCATATAATCAGCCATATAGAAATACAGGGGCTTAGACGACTGATAATACCTCCAAAGCTACAAATTAGTGTCAGTTATGAGTAAGGAGACAGAGGGGGGGAGCTGATAATGTATTGTCTGCTGCTGGGAGCCATAACAATATGCTGAAACAGCTCATCGGAAGCCCGGGGGCGAAAACAGTCAATTTTTGTCTGAAATTAAATGCTGTACGTTAACTAGGCTTCATTAAGTTCTCTGATATTGTCGCTTTTTTTTTTTTACCTACACATGGTTTAACAGGCATAGCTTTGTTGAAAAGGAAATAATTTTGGAACATTTGAATATGGGCATATAAAAAGTATTTAAGCAAATAAGTTCTATGCTGAGTTGGAAGTACACTCTTAGAAAAAAGGGTTATTCGGCTGTCCCCATAGGAGAACCCTTTTTGGTTTCAGGTACAGTACGTGGAACCCAAAAGGGTTCTACCTGGAACCAAAAGGCTTCTACTTCGAACCAAAAATAGTTATTCAAAGGGTTCTCCTATGGGGACAGCCGAAGAACATTTACATTTACGTCATTTAGCAGACGCTCTTATCCAGAGCGACTTACAAATTGGTTCTAGATAGCACCTTTTTTCAAAGAGTGTACTGTATGTCAGAAGGTTTGCAATCCACTGCATTTAAAAGTGTAATCTGGACATGTACATATTGCTATATGCTATTAGAATGGTTTAATTTCAGTCTATTTCTGAGTTTAAGTATGTTTTCTAATGTTAATTTGCTACAGCTCAAAACACTTTGATTGATGTCTAGAACCCACCATGTTAACATATAAAGTTCAGCCCAGAAACCACTTCTGGTAGCTGCAGGACTCTGCTTAATTACTGTCCCTGGGTGAAAGGGTTTATTGAAACCTGAGGTACATACCTGCCCTTCTATCTTTGCTTAGAGGAGAGGATCTGAGGTACCTACATTTGAGAGATGATTTAAGCACTAAATTACAAGTTCTTCGCTATGTGGATGAGCATCAGTCAGTGATGGAACCGAATCCTACATGTACTTTCTTATTTTTTCGTTGGCAGTGTGAATACATGCCTGAGGCCCGAACAAATATCTTTAGCTTTACCCCTCTCTAACATCACCGCTACAGTTTTATCTAATCATGGTCTTTTGAGTTTCTGAGGCATGCTATGCAGGGACGCACAAAAGGCCATTTAGTTTGAGTTCACATTCTTCATCAAATGTTTGAAAGTAAAACCTTCATACCGAGGCACATAATAAGAACCAGTTGAGTTACAGGAAATGGGAGAGGGGAAAACATGAGAGTAGGAGAAATGTAGCGTCTAGACACCCCCTGTGTTTGTAAACACCTATCTGAGTGTAACTCACACACATGAGTCATGGGTCATGTTTAAGATTAAGGACCTTCTGGCCTTAGTTAATTAGCTTCCTATCATGTGAAAGGAATCTAAAATAAATGTCAAGACTGATATGTAAGATTTAAACAGGATACAATTAAAACATGTATAAAGTATCTTTAGATTGATTGCAACATTCTAGTGTCTCTTTTCCTAACACCCGGCATTGAGCATCTAGGCCTATTTAATTTACAGCCTAATATGTACAGTAGGGGCGGCAGTTTGCAATGATTTATTCATTCATTTGAATATGTTAATGTATTCTTATAGAAGAACAATCTTTCTGCTAAAATATTTGCCACTCAGTTTTCTCTGTGTTCTTCATTTCCCTTGCTCTCATCCAGACTGATCACAAATGGGGCTGACAACCACAGCAAATGGTCTGTGTTGTGACTGTCTGTGCATATCTGGTTTTAATAGATGAAGCAATTGAGTAGCTCCTATTGAAGCCGTGTTGAAAAAAGAAAGGGGCACGGGAGCATGGAAGTCACACTGCATTGAAAGGTTCATTGAATGTCCTATAAATCCCAGGGGGAAATCATATCACTCTTTTATAAGATGTCCGATTTAGCGCTGAAGTTCCATTTGAAATAGGACATTCATTTTGCCAAAGGACAGCTCCACAATACTGTCTGATAGTCCATATCGGAAAAGAAGCAGCCCATGGCATCCCTCTGTCAAGTAAATGTTTTCCAGATTGAAAACTTCATCAGATGGAAATCTGTCCAATCTAGTGGTCCTGTGTGTTGGGTATTTGGGCATCTGTCTTTCATGTGTTCTAGGGCTTGAGATGGAAGGAAAGAAAAAACAACTATTACATAACCCATTTCCCGTCACGACTCGAGCAAGCAAACAAAGCAAAGCATGCCTACTTCCTGGTGGCAGCTTAGTACTTCCTGTGTCCTAATCATCCCTGGAGACTTGAGTTAACAGCTTGAGTTGAGCATTTGTCTGCTGTTCAGAATAGCCTTGTGGTGTTTGTTTTGATTATAGTAATTACTTGCACAATTTGGCTCTGTCTGATTTGGTCATGTTTCTAGCCTAACATTTTTCCTAAAGTTGCTTTGAGCACCACACCTTCTTTTTAACGATATATAGACTGTCCATAGTTCTGATTAAGTGTTGGGAAAACATGAGAAATATATCACCTGACATCCCATCTCAGGAAACAGATGTCCTGCGGTTCAACAGAGCCCTTCTTCCTCTCTCCCTCCTCCCTCCATCCATCCCTCCCTCCCTCCCTCTCTCCTTCCATCAGTTCCTCTCTCCCTCCTCCCCCTTTCCTTCCATCAGTTCCTCTCTCCCTCCTCCCTCCCTCCATCCATCTCTCTCCTCCCTCCCTCTCTCCTTCCATCAGTTCCTCTCTCCTTCCTGCCTTCTCTTTTTCACATGCACTTCATGATAATGCAGAAACAAATAGTCAACGACGGCTCTTTTTTTCTGCTGGGCTATCACTTTCCTCCAGAGCTGTCCAGTCGGGATGACTTTGTCATGCTCTCCTGCCTCTCTCATTTCCATATCATGTACAGAAACGGGCCCGGGAGATGCTTCGAGGCCAATAGGAGATCAGCATCTGTACATCTGTGCCGTGTGCCTTCCTAACAACCCTCTCCTCTACACTCCGCAGTCCAACAAGGACACGCAAACCTGGGAACAAATATGTTGAGCTTCACTTGCCTGACTTAGGATGGCATGCAAGTGTTGTATAATTGTGACCAAAGTGATCAAGAGGATGTATGCTTGGAATACCTCAGGGCCTCACAGGGCCAGTAGAAATGGCACGTTTGTGAATTGTAGTAGTTGGGTCTGTGCTCAGATGAGGAGTAGAGTTGTCGTATTATTCTGACATCTGATTAGGATGAGGGAAAGGGCTGGAACATTGCAGTAACAAGCAGCTATGTCCCATGTTACCATACAGACAGACACCTGTCTTCCTTTGGCCTTCCTATCAGTGGCGGTCGGTGCCGTTTAAGATGATGAGGACAATTATTTGTTTATGACCATGGCCTTATTTCTATTACAGCGTATTGGATGACTGTCATTCATATTCCATTCACCCAGCTCAATGTAATATCAATAGGTTTAGGCTACTACATGATACAAAAATGTTCCCTATACCCATCATGAGGTTGCTACAACCTAGCCTATGAATGAAAGTTTACAATGTAGGTGCACAGGTCGAAATATTTTTTTATTATCAAGGTGACAGACAGTGACACATTCAATACCGCCTTGCACACTCTTGGCCTGCATCTAGCTGATCTAGGGTGTAATCATTAGTCCAACAGTTGCAAACAAGAGTTTCTATTGGACAAATTCAGGTATGTTTAACCCCGTTCCGTTTGTTTCCGTTTAAGAAATGTTTTTCAACAGAATCGGCGGAATGAATACACCTCTGATCACACGCAAACACAGTTCACTTTCATAGCAGCCACATACAAACAGCATGATCACTTTGCTCGTTGTAATTCCTTCTTACATCTATGCGCTCTCTTCCTCTCTCGCCTTTTCCCTTTGATTGTGGACTTCAGTGCACAACACATCAGCTGTCTGTGACCAGACGGAAAAACCTTTCCAAGCCAAACCTTCATATCATAACCGCTAACCGCTACACACAGCCTACATTATTGTCACCATATTAGCTAACGTCATAGTCAACATAGCTAATAGAACTTACGCATTAGTAAACCCACTACAATCATGCAGTACAGTGTGTACAGTCAGCAAGCAGTTTAGCAGTTACACCGGCGGGCCCCGGTGGCAATAAATTAATAAAACCAAAAGCTTACCTTGACTTGAAAGAGTTCCAATGTTGGATAGCCATAGCCAGCTAGCTATCATAGCATCACTCTCAATTTGAGCTGGGTATTTAAGTAGGATAAACTAGCTAGCTGCATTCGCTAGCTAAGTAAGTGAAAGTGAAAATAATACTACGAAATATAGCTAGCTCTCTCTCTCTCTTTCTCTCTCTCTCTCACTTTTTCATTTTTGAAGAAATGTATTTGTTCAAAACTGTTCAACTATTGTCTTTCTCTCTCTTTGAGTCAACTACTCACCACATTTTGTGCACTGCAGTGCTAACTAGCTGTAGCTTATGCTTTCAGTACTAGATTAATTCTCTCATCCTTTGATTGGGTGGATAACATGTCAGTTCATGCTGCAAGAGCTCTGATAGCTTGGAGGACATCCTCCGGAAGTTGTCATAATTACTGTGTAAGTCTATAGAAGAGGGTGAGAACCATGAGCCTCCTAGGTTTTGTATTGAAGTCAATGTACCCAGAGGATGACGGAAACTAGCTGTCTTCCGGCTACACCATGGTGCTACCCTACAGAGTGCTGTTGAGGCTACTGTAGACCTTCATTGCAAAACAGTGTGTTTTAATCAATTATTTGAGGATGTGAATATATTTAGTAAAGTAAAACTTTTTTAAATGTTTCATCATTTTTGTTTGCATGAAATTCACTGAGGTGGATGGTCCTCCCCCTTCCTCCTCTGAGGAGCCTCCACTGCCTGCTATCAATTCTGTATGGAGAGGTACCTTCATTTTCTTCTCTCTGCTTTGTGTAGTACAGCTGTGGACTGGACAGTGTTTCCATCCTGGACATCTGTCTCGAAGACAAACAGACCACCACAAAGTGAGAAGGGTTCACACACCTGGGAAGAATAGTCTGTGTGCGTCAGAAGAATGCCATGGTCTTTGTCTGCACTCCGCAGTGGGAGAACAAGCAACATATTGGACCTGGTAGGGGGCATAGGACAGGAAGAAAAACACAAACCAGGAATTGTGCTGATTGCGCATGATGCACATATGATCCCATTCTCTCTTTATGCAATATAGATTCAAAAGCTATATTTTCTGTTATTCTTACCTTAGCCCTCGAAAAATAACTGCAGTAACACATACTACTTGCACACAGACACTGATACCATACCAGCCACTGCTCATGAAGGCAGGGAGCTATTCATCATGGCCTAAAAAGGTTTTGCAGTCACACCTCCACCTTCGGTATAAAATCTGTCATGCCGCATGTTCTTTCCTAAATCTTATCTGAGGGGCAGGCCTGGAATGAGGCGGTTCCCTGGGTTTTGTGATGCTCGCTCTTCTCTGATTGGGAGAGTAAATCAGTCAGTGTTGTTGGGTTTCTGGGGTGTGATTGGTTGCATAGTGCCGTACATGCTGCACCGAGGCAGGCTGGATGGAGAGCTAGCTACAGTAGCCTTTCAATGTGGAGGAGAGGTTAGAGATGTTGATTTAGAGCACTGCCCCTGGAAGTGAAGATGATGTGGGGATGTGGGTTTGCTGTGTGTTTGGATGGTGCATGCATGCATGTGTGCGTGTGCTTTTCTCCATATGTTTGTGTTGGTGGGGTTAGAAGTTGTGTCTGTTTTCCCCCTCCACTGCCACCTCCCTTTCTCTGCTTAAGTGTAATCTGCTAATCCTGCCTTGAGTGCTGACGTCATGGCAGCATTAAAGCTGGAATTGTGCTCTTTTTGTTATATCATCGATTTGCATGTCTTCCAGTCAGCTTTTCTCTGCCTTTCATCATGATTTTTATGCCTCTTGTTCACTGAAACACTTTTATCGCAAGTGAGGGCTGACAGACTGAAGGCATTATCAGGGCCAGGGTCACACAGAGTGGCAACACAGTAGGGGTCTCGTAAATAAGATGAACATACATTCCAACGATTCTGGAATGGAAGAATTCCACAGTCTCTGTATGAGAGGAAATTCCCAATGTCTCTGGCTACATACTTCAGAAAAAGAACTGAAGGCCTTGGGGTATTTCACACACACAGTACCATTTCAAGTTTTCCTGTCGCTGATGTTAAGAATGTTTGGTGCAAAGATAGAATGTTCTGGCATACTTTTTGTCAGACTGACGGGCCAAGGATATTACATATGGTTCACCTGGCATTCGACCCCAACTCACAGCTCTTTGAGTCTAGGTGAAACTGAAACTCACATATTTGGCCTCATCCAGGTGTTGAGGCATCCTTTGTGTTTCTGTGAAGCTGCTGCAGTGCAGATGGTCTGGTGTCTTGTCCGGTTATGAAACCTGGAGGAGAGGTTCAGTCAGGACTTTTTAAGATCTGGGGATTTGAATGTGTGCGTGTGGCTGACAGCCTTCTTATGGCTGTCATATGGAGCGTTACCAGCAACCTCTTATCTCTCATCCCTCTCTTTGGGATGTTTTGATCTCAATGTGAGCATTTCCAACCCCCAGCCTCTGGCCCAAATCTTGCTGAAATGACGGCCTACTCAAGGGAAGTCTGTACTAACAAAACGAAACATAAAACTTTTTGGGCCACTTAAATCGTTGTATTTGACTAAATCATTGTATTTGACACATTGCCTTTTTACATCTAGAAATGATTGCATGTCAAATCAAATCAAATTTTATTTGTCACATGCGCCGAATACAACCGTGAAATGCTTACTTACAAGCCCTTAACCGACAATGCAATGTTAAGAAAATAGAGTTAAGAAAAGTTTACTAAATAAATGAAAGTATAAAAAGTAACACAATAAAATAACAATAACGAGGCTATATACAGGGGGTACTGGTACCGAGTCAATGTGCGGGGGCACAGGTTAGTCAAGGTAATTGAGGCAATATGTACATGTAGGTAGGGGTAAAGTGACTATGCATAGATAATAAACAGCGAGTAGCAGCAGTGTAAAAAAAATAAAAAATAATAATAATTTATATGCTTGATGTTGGTAATTGTTAATCAAGGAACATCTATTAGTTTTATAGTTCAACCTCACAGCTCTTGTACTTGTTGTATCTCAGTCAGCAGTGTCACAACATTGTCTTCAAACCGCCTCAGTGCTTTTACTACTGCTTCAAGCAACCAACTTATACAGTTGGAAGTCGGAGGTTTACATACACCTTAGCCAAATACATTTAAACTCAGTTTTTCACAATTCCTGACATTTAATCCTAGTAACAATTCCCTGTCTTAGGTCAGTTACGATCACCACTTTATTTTAAGAATGTGAAATGTCAGAATAATAGTAGAGAGAATGATTTATTTCAGCTTTTATTTATTTCATCACATTCCGAGTGGGTCAGAAGTTTACATACACTCAAATAGTATTTGGTAGCATTGCCTTTTAAATTGTTTAACTTGGGTCAAACGTTTCGGGAAGCCTTCCACAAGCTTCCCACAATAAGTTGGGTGAATTTTGGCCCATTCCTCCTGACAGAGCTGGTGTAACTGAGTCAGGTTTGTAGGCCTCCTTGCTCGCACACGCTTTTTCAGTTCTGCCCACAACTTTTCTATAGGATTGAGGTCAGGGCTTTGTGATGGCCACTCCAATACCTTGACTTTGTTGTCCTTAAGCCATTTTGCCACAACTTTGGAAATATGCTTGGGGTCATTGTCCATTTGGAAGACCCATTTGCGACCAAGCTTTAACTTCCTGACTGATGTCTTGAGATGTTGCTTCAATATATCCACATAATTTTCCTTCCTCATGATGCCATCAATTTTGTGAAGTGCACCAGTCCCTCCTGCAGCAAAGCAACCCCACAGCATGATGCTGCCACCCACGTGCTTCACGGTTGGGATGGTGTTCTTCGGCTTGCAAGAGTCCCCCTTTTTCCTCCAAACATAACGATGGTCATTGTTTCATCAGACCAGAGGACATTTCTCCAAAAAGTACGATCTTTGTCCCCTTGTGCAGTTGCAAACCGTAGTCTGGCTTTTTTATGGCGGCTTTGGAGCAGTGGCTTCTTCCTTGCTGAGCGGCCTTTCAGGTTATGTCGATGTGGGTCTCGTTTTACTGTGGATAAAGATAATTTTGTACCTGTTTCCTCCAGCATCTTCACAAGGTCCTTTCCTGTTGTTCTGGGATTGATTTGCACTTTTCGCACCAAAGTACGTTCATCTCTAGGAGACAGAACGCGTCTCCTTCCTGAGCGGTATGACGGCTGCGTGGTCCCATGGTGTTTATACTTGCGTACTATTGTTTGTACAGATGAAAGTGGTACCTTCAGGCGTTTGGAAATTGCTCCCAAGGATGAACCAGACTTGTGGAGGTCTACAATTTCTTTTCTGAGGTCTTGGCTGATTTCTTTTGATTTTCCCATGATGTCAAGCAAAGAGGCACTGAGTTTGAAGGTAGGCCTTGAAATACATCCACAGGTACACCTCCAGTTGACTCAAATGATGTCAATTAGCCTATCAGAAGCTTCTAAAGCCATGACATCATTTTCTGGAATTTTCCAAGCTGTTTAAAGGCACAGTCAACTTAGTGTATGTAAACTTCTGACCCACTGGAATTGTGATACAGTGAATTATAAGTGAAATAATCTGTCTGTAAACAATTGTTGGAAAAATTACTTGTGTCATGCACAAAGTAGATGTCCTAACCGACTTGTCAAAACTATAGTTTGTTAACAAGAAATGTGTGGAGTGGTTGAAAAACGAGTTTTAATGACTCCAACCTAAGTGTATGTAAACTTCCGACTTCAACTGTACCAGCTGTAACAAGCTAAATTCCTTTCAAATTTAGTGACCATGATAGTGTTTTATCACGCACTTGGACAGATTGTATATTCACGCCTGAGGAAGCATGCACCGGTAAGAAATGTTATTGGTTCACACTGTGCTGGAGTAGTCCTAGAGGAGTCTCTTGCCTTGCAGAAACTGTTAGAGTAGGTCACTGGAGGTCAGCTATATTGACCTTTGGAGGCCTGTCAAAATCATTGCTGTTGATTGCTATTAACCTGCTCCACTGGGTACTAGTGCTGTAACGCCTGGCCCTGCTGGAGGCCAACAGATGCTCCAGGCTTGTTGCTCGCTGAGGCATTACTCATGCCTGACCACACTCACTATTTCTCCCCTAATATTGTTTAAATTAATTGAAGCAATGTTTTAGTTTGAATACTTATAGCTGGATAGCTGTTTACACCGCTGCATAAGTGTATTGGTGTACAGTATAGGGTGACAATTGGTTGGATCATGGTTGGTGTTTCAATTGATTGAAGCCATGTTTGACGTACAGATGTACTATTGACGTACATATGTACTATCTTAATTTGACCAGTTTCTCACAGCAGGAAAATAATCCTGCATCAACAAGAAATGTGAATTATTATGTGGATTATAATGAATGGACATTTTTGTAGGGGTTGCTCCATTTTTAGTTAGGATAAGTCAAGTCTGACATTTAAAGTGGAAATTACTGACTTAAGAAGCCTTTTTGTAAATTCTCTGTGACAACAGAGGGATCAAATTAAGATAGCACAGCTGTACTGTACAGTATAGGGTGACAATTTTGTGCAGTAGGTAGTGTCTGAGACGGGGAACAGAGAGATATAAGAAGGAAGGTTAGGGGTGTTAGGTTAACAGAGACTGACAGACCTCTCTATGATTCTGGTCGGTGACGTGTGGCAGCCTGGCAGCAGGACCATGACATGGGCACTGTGGGGTCGGGGTAGACACTAGACAGGTGGGGGTGGGCCCCATCCCTTTGGGGCTGCCCAGGCAGGGTGCCAGATGGGAGATGTTATGCCATGGAGCCTACCGACAGGAAACTGCCAGGGCCGCGTTTGTTCCGCTGACAACCTGCATTTCAGCCCGACCTGGGCAAGCGTACATTCCTCAAAGTGATAGGCTTCAGAGGGGGCCTGGTGCTCTCCCTCACACACATACCCAAGACACACACACATTCTCTCTTTCTCTCTCACCTCTCTGTCTCTCTATTCCACCTTCTCTCCCGTTCTCCCGCGGTCTAGCACGTACCATCTTTCTCTTTCTCCATCTGTCTGTCTCGCTCCCCCCTCAGTCTTTATTCCTTCATCTTCCTGTAACTCCCGGTGAGGCGTGCAGGATTCCTCCCATGCTGAGGGGATTAAGAGCCTGGGAGGGCATCAGGGATCTGATTGGTGAGGACCTGCTCTTGCTCCTATTGGATGGGCTTGGGACACTGCAGCAGTGGTGGGCTCTCAGAGCCAACGGGGGATTGGACAGGACAACAGTGGGTTCCACTGTGGTTGTGTAACTAACCTCAAATCCAGGGAGGGACATCCTTTAGCATCAGGTATGAGTTAACGAGGGAATTCCACTGGTTTTAGAGTTAGATTTCCACAGATCGACAGACCCTGCTCTCTCTAAGGGTTTTGAATCTGTGAAAAGCTTTGACTTTTGGAGCGAAGCACCGGCACTTAGAGAGGGTGGGAAAGTCAAATGCAGGCGACGCTGCGGAGCAAACGTTTGTCACACGCTCCCGTTGCATTTTATATCAGACACGCACTGCAGGGATATCGACCATCTGAGGCAGCAGCAGAGGCGACACAGAGACAATCTGACTGTCAGCTTTGTCTCCCTCAGAGGTTCGATGGACACACTCTACCAACCTTCTAATGTCACGCACATAGCACCTTTGTAGCACCTTTATGTTGTTTACTCAGTAAACAACTCAGACTCCATTTAGAAATCAGGAAATGAGGAGACCTGACCTGAGGAGCGGTTTTATGTTGTTTTGTCTCACTCCTTCTTCTCTCGTTTCCGACAGGTACTGTGGCACCTGGACATCTTTCGCCGGAGCTTCCGGCAGTTGACCACACACAAGTGCATGGAGGACTCGTGTATCTTCTGTGCCTTGAAGGTAAGAGTAGAGCTGTGGGTGGAGAGAGGAGGGGGCCTGGGGGTGGAGGAGAGTTGGTTCATTTATTCATCAATGCTTTCCAGGTAATGCCTTCCAAATAATGCAGATAGAGGATGGTTATTTTGGTATTGGACTGTTGCGTTTATTTTAACAGTAAATCTAGGAGTTTTTTCTGAAGTGACTTTTGTGGATTTAGCTGTGCCCCCAGAGAGATGGATGACCATGCCTTTCAATGTGAATATTTGTATCTCAGCATGTGAATTGTCAGTAACTAAGTACTCTACCCTGGTGTGGACAGGCAGTGGTTGGATGTCTGGCCAGTGGTTATGGATTATGTAAAATAGATTTCTCTCTGATCTGGACAGACCGCTGAATGTAGATCTCTCTATCTCTCTCACACTCCCTCTTTCTCCCCCCTTTCTATCTCACTCTGCTCCCTCCAATCCCCCCACTCTCACCACTCTTTCTTTTATTATTACATTCCATCTAATGCGCAGGCACTGGCACTCTCCATCAAACGTTCAATAACTCAGTTGGAAATTAGTGCTTTCCCCTGTTCCAGCAGACCTTTCTGTCCATCTGTCTGTTTGTCTCTGTCTGTCTGTCTGTCTGTCTGTGAGCAGTGTGACAGACTCAATGTTTCTCTCTCTGTTTCACCGTGATGGTCCGTCTCGCTGTCTTAACATGTCCGTGACGTCTCCTTCTCACTATGATTCAATGACCATCTCTATATGTCTCACCATGACCATGTCTGTCTGTCTGATTGTGGTCTATCTAACTTAGGTCTTACTCTGTACGGGACTCTTTGTCTGGCATTCCAAATCCCTGTCTGATTGTCTGTTTCTTTGTCTGGCTGGCAGAACCAGACTAGCTTTGCCTCTATGCTACTTTCATTACACCACAATACTCGTCCTGTGGGCCAGCAGTTTATTTTTTCCTGGTTTGAGTCATTGATTCTATCTTAATGAAGAGGTGTCACAAACTCACACACACCAGAGGTGACAGTCGAGGCGGCGTAAATGCCTTTTGAGTGGCTGCAGGATGGCACTTCACACACTCAGCCGTGTGGGATTTTTACCCCCAAATGCAGATTTAATGGGCTCTTGTGAAACTGAGTGGTGTGATCTGCGATGCATTAGGGCTGCAGGGCCATCAGAGGGGTTTGATTGTCACATACAAAGGCATGTCTGATTCTTCTCCTTCGCACACGGTCTGTGGCAGGCAGGCAGGCATGGCTTAGAGCAGCTGAATCTGGCCAGCTGGCAGGACTTGGAGAGTGAAAGAGCCCTGTGGGTTCAACGAGGCCATCATTTTAGCTACCGGCTGACTAGGTCTGGTCCTTTTGACTGTGACAGGTTAGCTGATTTCACACTAGTGTCTACTGTACCTCAGTGTGAGTCATAGTCATTGTAGGCGTAAGTGTACTTCTGCTGCTCCCGCTGCACTTTCTCTATTTCACTCTTTCACTCAATCTCCCTCTCTCTGCTCTTTCCTTCTCTTACTCCATCTCTCTCTCCCTCCCATTCTCTCTCCCCCTCTGCTCTCTCCATCTCTGCCTAGGCTCCCTTTCTCTTTCCCTTACCTCACTCTGGTCTCGCTCTCTCCTCTCTTTCTCTCCCTCTCTCTTGATGTTTCAGCCTTATCAGAATTCACCAGGGCTCATTTGAGGGGTCGATTACAGGGCATTTCTGCCAGGCATTTAATTTGAGCAGAATTATTAGGCTATGATCATTTATCCTCTCGCTGCTGTTCTCTCTCCCTTACCTCGCCCACATCTTCTCCTCTCCTCTCGCCCTCTCTCCTCCTTATGCAAGATAAATTGAGGTGCAGCGGCAGGGCAAACGTGTGTGTGTGTGTGTGTGCGATCGCGTGCACAACTGCATGCACACGTGTGGGTGTTTGTGTGCCTGCATGTGTCTGTGTCCGCTTTCCCAATAAACTCTCACATTGTTCAGGGTGTTTTTGATTGAGGAAACGAAAGCACATTATAATGGGCCATCTACTCTCAGTAAATCTAGGTTGTGTTATGAGATTAGTCCATTCATAAGGATGTCTTCCACCTGAATGTGTCATGCCCTGGTGAATAACTGAACACTCTGAAGCAGCACAGTGACAGTGAGGAGTACAAAGCTATAATAATTTCCCCTATGGCTGTTAACGCTTATGTTTAACAGTATGGCTGTGATGAAGTGTTAGGGTTAAAGGGATAATCCACCCCCAGAAATAAAAATCATGAAACTCCTGTCAATTTGGTGAAAGCCTATGTTCTATCAGTGGGTAAAATACAATCTTCCCCCATGATTTAACTTCTAAGTGGTCCGCCTGAGAAAATCAGGAAATCATGTAGGAACGCGTCATAGCTATATCATTCTCGTCACTGGAGATAGGGGATTACACACTATCACATTTTAGAACGCTTTTAAAACAATTACCTGCACTCCAGATCGCCAAATCAACCGATAGATGGTATGGCCATCCATCCATCCGTTTAGAACACATCCATCCGTTTATATCGTCATGACAGATTATAGATTTTGCTTAGAGGTGCTCAATCTGAACAGTGTACTAAATTATTCACCTCCGTTTCTCCTTCAAGTACCATGTCGCAATGCACCGTGTCTGTAGGAAACAGTGATATTACAGAAAGGAGGAGATAGTAATCCCATTGGGCAATGAATGGAGAAATGCCCCACCCAACTGACTGTCAACCAATCGCATTCACATTGTCATGCTGCGTCACGTTGTTGCTAAGCTAATCGTCACGCAATCTGATTCTAATGGAGTTTCCCCATCTCAAAATTATCTCTGTGGGAAAGAAACGTAATGCTGCTCTCGCTCTGGGCAGAGACGCCATTTATATCTTAGTGTTAGAAATGAACTGTAAGTTGAACTTGCTGATAAATTGTTAGTGCAGTTTGTTTAGGCGATTTTACAGCTAGCTAGCTACTTCACATGCTGATATTGACTTTGGTATTATTGTGTGTAGCTATGTTTTCTAGATAGCTAGCTACCTAGCCAGCCAGCCAGTCAGCCAGCCCAGGAAGAGAGAGAACATTGCATTGTGGGTTTTGTAGTAGACTTGAGCTGCAACAGAATTTCCAAAATGATTTTCACAGGTTTCTACCAATCTTGTTCTTAAGACAAAATGAAAAATTTGTTCACAAAAATATTATTTTCACATATTAGTGTTATTTAACACTTTTAACACTGTTAATAATAGGAATTAGTGGTTTGGGGTGGATTATCCCTTTAAGGCAGCTGCATGCTTCCCATCCAAAACAGTTCGGAACAGTTTGTGCATATATTATGATTACATTTTGTGACGTTTTGTTCGTTTTGGTATTCTGCAAGTTTTCTTTCTGGCTGTTCGTGCACAAGCCATTTTTTCTCAAGGCAAGCCGAAGTCGGTAGCCAAAGTCTACGCCCCTTCGTCAGTGATTGGTCAACAGTAGGGATTCTTCAATGAAGTGTTTGTTGTCATTCACAACTCTTTTTCATGCAAATGTTTTCACTTGAGAAATACTGCACCCAACATCTTAGTTAGATGTAAAATTGTCGAGTAAGACCTCTGCAAAACTTTATTTTTAGTTATCTTTATTTTGAGGAAGTGTATACTGGCGACGGCTTCATCAGTGTACCACTTCTCCGACAGTCAGTTCCTCCATAGGACCCACTCTTCCGTAGGTACTGGTCCTCAATTGTCGAACATGTAGCACCCACCTGGGTGATGCCACGGCTGCTGAAAAGCCACCACATCTTGGCAGTGGGCAGCAGGTAGCTTAGTGGTTAAGAGCGTTGTGCCAGTAACCGAAAGGTCGCTGGTTCTAATCCCCGAGCCGACTAGGTGAAAAATCTGTCGATGTGCCCTTGAGCAAGGCACTTAACCCTAATTGCTCCTGTAAGTCGCTCTGGATAAGAGCGTCTGCTAAATGACTAAAATGTAAATGTTAAGATGTACAAACAGTACTATTGTTGCTTTTTTCTTGTTTATCAAGCGAATGTCTTTTAAGGGAGTATGTGAGTACATTCGTTTGGTTCAGCTAGGCGCCAGCTGAAACAAAGCATGCTGACTCCTTTAGAAGGTGAACTGTGGGAGATGGTGTTGTCTTCGAGATGCAGGTGTTATTTTCGTCAGCCTACAGCGTTCACTCCCATCATGCCATCACCAAGACATCACAGGTTGCCAATAGAACCTTGCATAATGGGAGATTCCAGTGTTATGGATGTTACATTTGCACGCAAAATCACAACTTTAATGTAATTAAAATCACCGGCCACTAGGAGCGCAGCCTCTGGGTGAACATTTTCTTGTTTGCTTATGGCCCTATACAGCTTGTTGAGTGTGGTCTTAGTGCCAGCATCGGTTTGTGGTGGTAAATAGACAGCTACGAAACAAAAACTATAGATGAAAACTATTTTGGTAAATAGTATGGTCTACAGCTTATCATTAGTATTTTAACTCAGGCGAGCAGAACCTTAACAGAGAACGTTTGAAGATGATCCGATGTAAGGTGCATGTTTTACAAAAACTTTCCCCAAAAACTTTATGGATGTTACATTGCCTGTCCAAGTCACCCCCTCTATCTAGACAACACTGTAGAACACGCAACCAAATCTCAAGACACTTTGGTCTGTATTGCTTCATTAACATCTCATCTTCATAACTAACACTGGGGGACAGCGGTGAGTGGAAAAACAAGCTCTGTGAGCCCTTTCTAAAGGCCATGAAATATTATTGACTGAAAAGCCTTTTTTGAGACTTGGCATCCTATTCTGTAATGGAGACAATTCATATAATTTCCTACTTAAACTGGTCAAATAAAGCCTGAATTCTAACCTATAGACCCTAAGGATAGTTATGAAATGAACTTTATTTGTGATGGTCAGGTTGACTTTCCAATGGAATTGACCATATACTAATCAACAATATACACTGCTCAAAAAAAAATAAAGGGAACACTTAAACAACACAATGTAACTCCAAGTCAATCACACTTCTGTGAAATCAAACTGTCCACTTAGGAAGCAACACTGATTGACAATACATTTCACATGCTGTTGTGCAAATGGAATAGACAACAGGTGGAAATTATAGGCAATTAGCAAGACACCCCCAATAAAGAAGTGGTTCTGCAGGTGGTGACCACAGACCACTTCTCAGTTCTTATGCTTCCTGGCTGATGTTTTGGTCACTTTTGAATGCTGGCGGTGCTTTCACTCTAGTGGTAGCATGAGACGGAGTCTACAACAACCCACACAAGTGGCTCAGGTAGTGCAGCTCATCCAGGATGGCACATCAATGCGAGCTGTGACAAGAAGGTTTGCTGTGTCTGTCAGCGTAGTGTCCAGAGCATGGAGGCGCTACCAGGAGACAGGCCAGTACATCAGGAGACGTGGAGGAGGCCGTAGGAGGGCAACAACCCAGCAGCAGGACCGCTACCTCCGCCTTTGTGCAAGGAGGAGCAGGAGGAGCACTGCCAGAGCCCTGCAAAATGACCTCCAGCAGGCCACAAATGTGCATGTGTCTACTCAAATGGTCAGAAACAGACTCCATGAGGGTGGTATGAGGGCCCGACGTCCACAGGTGGGGGTTGTGCTTACAGCCCAACACCGTGCAGGCGTTTGGCATTTGCCAGAGAACACCAAGATTGGCAAATTCGCCACTGGCGCCCTGTGCTCTTCACAGATGAAAGCAGGTTCACACTGAGCACATGTGACAGACGTGACAGAGTCTGGAGACGCTGTGGAGAACGTTCTGCTGCCTACAACATCCTCCAGCATGACCGGTTTGGCGGTGGGTCAGTCATGGTGTGGGGTGGCATTTCTTTGGGGGGCCGCACAGCCCTCCATGTGCTCGCCAGAGGTAGCCTGACTGCCATTAGGTACCGAGATGAGATCCTCAGACCCCTTTTGAGACCATATGCTGGTGCGGTTGGCCCTGGGTTCCTCCTAATGCAAGACAATGCTAGACCTCATGTGGCTGGAGTGTGTCAGCAGTTCAAGAGGAAGGCATTGGTGCTATGGACTGGCCCGCCCGTTCCCCAGACCTGAATCCAATTGAGCACATCTGGGACATCATGTCTCGCTCCATCCACCAACGCCACGTTGCACCACAGACTGTCCAGGAGTTGGCGGATGCTTTAGTCCAGGTCTGGGAGGAGATCCCTCAGGAGACCATCCGCCACCTCATCAGGAGCATGCCCAGGCGTTGTAGGGAGGTCATACAGGCACGTGGAGGCCACACACACTACTGAGCCTCATTTTGACTTGTTTTAAGGACATTACATCAAAGTTGGATCAGCCTGTAGTGTGGTTTTCCACTTTAATTTTGAGGGTGACTCCAAATCCAGACCTCCATGGGTTGATAAATTAGATTTCCATTGATAATTTTTGTGTGATTTTGTTGTCAGCACATTCAACTATGTAAAGACAAAAGTATTTAATACGATTATTTCATTCATTCAGATCTAGGATGTGTTGTTTAAGTGTTCCCTTTATTTTTTGAGCAGTGTATTTAGCCTACGTATTAAGACTATCATACACTGTAGGAAATGAGTGTTAACTTGATATGAAGGATATTTACCACCTTCCTGTTGCGGTCAAAATATGTGAACCCTGTGAATTTATAATTTCTTTGTACAATTCCTGTTACTCCAGAGAGAGTTACACTGTTATTGACCGTGCTGTGTTATTGTGTCTCTTGTTGTTTCTAGAGTATCTTTGCCCAGTTCCAGTTCAGCAGTGAGAAGGTGTTGCCGTCTGACGCGCTCCGCAGCGCCCTGGCCAAGACCTTCCAGGACGAACAGCGCTTCCAGCTGGGCATCATGGACGATGCTGCAGAGTGCTTCGTAAGAGACAGCCCCTCCCTCACTCCTCCACTCTTCCTCTCTCACCTCCCCTATTCCTCCATACTTACTTACCTCATCCCTCACTTCCCCACGTGCATTACTCTTCATTCTTCCACTCCTGCTCTTTTTCTTTATACATTACTGTACATGCTTAGCAAACAGAAGAGCTAAGAGATCAGCTAAAAGTGATCTCATAGCAAAATGCTCTATGTTGAAACCAGACATTTGCAGTAGCATAACATTTACAAAACAATGGCAGGGCCAAGATTTCCTTTGGCAGAACAAAGGAAAAGTTTGGGAAGTGTTTTTCACTTTGGGATGCTGCAGTGCAGAGTTCTGTACAGGGCCTTTTCCTGATCCCACCGACAGTAAGCAGAGTCCATGTCACGCCCTGGCTCTGGGGACTCTAATATGTTGAGCCAGGGTGTGTAAAGTCTATGTGTGTTGTTCTAGGTTTCACATTCTGGTATTGTGGTTCTATGTTGGCCAGTGTGGTTCTCAATCAGAGGCAACGTGATTCAGCTGTTGCTTGTTGACTCTGATTGAGAACCATACTTTAGCAGCCTGTTTCCCCACAGAGTTTGTGGGATCTTGTTTCGAGTCTGTTGTGTTAGACCGTGAACTGTCACGTTTTCGTTTTGTTGGTTTTGATCGTGTCTCTAATAAAGAGTATGTTTGCCTGCAACGCTGCGCCTTGGTCCTCATCTCTGTTCGACGATCGTGACAGAAGATCCCACCAAGACTGGACCAAGCAGCAAGTCCAGGAGCCAGCGCCTGAGAGATCTCTAGCGGATCTCCTTCGCCTCCTCGACTGGGTCAAGCCATGTGAGGAAGAGAGGGGCTTGACGTGGAGGCAGAAGGGTGAAAGGCTGGCAAGGAGCATGGAGACCTGGTCCACGGGTAGGAGTGAAGTCCATACATTTTTTAGGGGGGGGCTAACGCCGTGGACGACGGGGCAGCAGGAGGCCGCCAGGTTACGGGAGTCACTGGTCACCAGGGGGAAGGAGGATGTAGAGGCACGGCGAGAGGTACTGGCGTGTGTTGCCAGTCCGGTCCGGCCTGTTCCTGATCCCCACGTAGGGCCAGTGGTGTGTGTTCCCAGTACGGTCCGGCCTGTTCCTGCCACTCGCACCAAGTCTACGGTGCGCATCGCCAGCTCGGCCCGGCCTGTTCCTGCTCCCCGCACCAAGTCTGTGGTGCGCGTCGCCAGCCCAGTCCGGCCCATTCCTGCTCCCCGCACCAAGTCTGTGGTGCGCGTCGCCAGCCCAGTCCGGCCCATTCCTGCTCCCCGCACCAAGTCAGTGGTGCGTTTCGTCATCCCTGTCCGGCCCGTTCCTGCTCCCCGCACCAAGTCAGTGGTGCGCGTCGTCAGCCCGGTCCGGCCCATTCCTGCTCCCCGCACCAAGTCAGTGGTGCGTTTCGTCAGCCCAGCTCGGCCCGTTCCTGCTCCCCGCACCAAGTCAGTGGTGCGCTTCGTCAGCCCGGCACGGCCCGTTCCTGCTCCCCGCACCAAGTCAGTGGTGCGCTTCGTCAGCCCGGCTCGGCCCGCTCCTGCTCCCCACACCAAGCCAGTGGTGTGCGTCGTCAGTCCGGCACGGCCCGTGCCTGTTCCACCGGTGGCTGGTCCGGCACCGGTCAGATGCTTCACGCCGGAGCTAGAGCAATCCGCTCCACCAGTGTGCAGTCCAGCTCCGGCCAGCGGGGCCAGACCGGACCAGGGGTACTTTGGGGGGTTGGAGAGGGAGCGGGGTTCAGGCCCGGAGCCGGATCCGCCGCCTAAGCGGAGTGCCCACCCGGTCCCTCCCCTGTGGTGTTTGGTGGGCGCGGTCGGAGTCCGCGCCTTTAGGGGGGGGTACTGTCACGCCCTGGCTCTGGGGACTCTAATATGTTGAGCCAGGGTGTGTAAAGTCTATGTGTGTTGTTCTAGGTTTCACATTCTGGTATTGTGGTTCTATGTTGGCCAGTGTGGTTCTCAATCAGAGGCAACGTGATTCAGCTGTTGCTTGTTGACTCTGATTGAGAACCATACTTTAGCAGCCTGTTTCCCCACAGAGTTTGTGGGATCTTGTTTCGAGTCTGTTGTGTTAGACCGTGAACTGTCACGTTTTCGTTTTGTTGGTTTTGATCGTGTCTCTAATAAAGAGTATGTTTGCCTGCAACGCTGCGCCTTGGTCCTCATCTCTGTTCGACGATCGTGACAGTCCACCTGGCCTCCAAACTACCACAAAGAAACAAACGGGCCTGCGCTCCTCCACTGGCCATCCCTCCTTCTCCCCTCTCAAAGCGGAGTTTGTAAAGAATCATTTATTTCCCCCTCACTGGCTCAATGTATAACAACGGCGTTGGGCAGCCAGCCAGAGGGTTGTTCCTTACCCTGTATCCCTCTCTGGACCTATTGTCTCCACTCCACCTCTCTTCCCTCTCTCCTGTCTCTCCTCTCTCACCCTCTCCTGCTTGTGTAGCAGCCCTTATGTTCTGCTGACAACCAGGAACATACAGAAACTGCAACGTGGGTTGTTTTTTATTCGTATTATTTGAGGTGTTTGGCTGCGGCTGCAGTCCGGAGGCAGTGGGATGGAGGGCCGGGGCAGATGCTAACTGTAGACTGGACCCTCCCCCTGGAGACCCTCTCTCTGCGGTGCTGCAGCTTATGTGTGCAGATCTCTGCTGTGATCCCACCGCCCAGAGGGCTCCTGCCTGCAGTTAGAGTGATAAATCAACCAGTAAATTAGCCCAGTATAGCCGACAAGAGCCTCTGTGCTTCACTGGACTTCAGTGATATACGTTTTCTCAAGTTTTTGCCAAAATGATATTTTCTTTGTGTGTTGGCTTTGTCGTGACGTTGGCTTTGTCGTGACGTAGTAGCGTGATTAAGTAAAAACATATATGTGGACAAGCACACACTTGCGTACATACACAATTACACAAAAGAACGGGCATAACGCTAACATGACTGTCTCTACCTGTTGCCCCCACAGGAGAATATTCTAATGCGGATCCATTTCCACATCTCAGACGAGACCAAAGAGGACATCTGCACAGCCAAGCACTGCATCCCACACCAGAAGTTTGCCATGACACTCTTCGAACAGGTGAGCACAAACACAAGCCTCAGCCCAATCACAAGCCTAAGTACCTTCTTTATATTATCACAGTCAATCAATTTTGTTTTCATCTCAGAATTGATCCGCCCATCCATTCCTATTTTCATTAACTGAAGTGAAGCCATCTCTGCTTATCTTAGTCGCGTAACTTTATATGTGTGTGTGTTTGCAGTGTGTGTGCAGCAGCTGTGGGGCCTCCTCTGACCCACTGCCCTTCATTCAGATGGTGCACTACATCTCCACCACCTCCCTCTGGTGAGTAACCCTCTGACTGGGGAAACCGCACTGGACCGACTGGTTCTGACTGGTACTGACTAGCTCTGACTGGTTCTGACTAGTGTTCTGACTGGTACTGACTAGTTCTGACTGGTTCTGACTAATGTTCAGATTTGTTTTCAGGGGTTCTGGCGGGCTCTGACAAGTTCTGATTAGTTATAACTTGGCTGGGTAGATATGACTCAAACCATGCAGTTAATTAACTAACACCATACATAGGGGCACATTAGGTGAATACTTTTATACAAAAGTGAAAATTAATGGACACTGCTCTCCAATTGAAATATGCTCCTTTCACTTCATAAATAGACTAAATGAAAAACCTTTTCCGGTCTCTTTTACGCAGAGCAGAAAATGTACGCTCTTTCGGCCCAGAGACCGTGAATTACACCATTGTGACCGAAAATGCTTTCTTTCTCCTCCGCTAAAGAGAAGTAACACGCCAGGTTAGATATCAGGTCGCCTAGGAACGGGTAATAGCTCTCTTATTCTTGGGGTTATGAGCTGTCAGCAACACCTCTCTGGGCTGTGGGAGGAGAATCATCCCTCTGTTAGGCTACAGACCAGCTGTAGTGAACCAGGGGCAGCCTGCCCGCCTGCCTGCGTCTCCAGCTGTAGTGAACCAGGGGCAGCCTGCCCGCCTGCCTGCGTCTCCAGCTGTAGTGAACCAGGGGCAGCCTGCCCGCCTGCCTGCGTCTCCAGCTGTGTGCTGTAGCCAGTCAACCCAGAGGGCTTGTTATGTTGTGAGCAACCTTCTTATGCAAAAGTGATGAAATGTCTCCGTTAATATTTCATGAGATGAGTCTGGTATTTGTTCTGTATGGGCTCTATCTGATTCTTCAACGTTGTTCTGGCCCACATATAAGCCCAAAATCCCCCAACACAAGCCTCTCTCTCTCTCTGTCTTAGAGAAACACACACATACACAAACACACTCTCCACAAACCCCTCAGAGGAGTATGTTGTATCCTGACAACGGTTTATTTGCCAATAACAAAGGTCTGTCTCCTGAGACCTAGTCATCTCTCCTGCACCAGAGCACAGAGAAAAGCTACAGTATAACCCTGGAGTGTCTTTGAGGTGTGCACCTCTATAGGTGGAGAGAGCTCCCCAGAGACCTAGAGAGAATGGGAAAGGACAAAGTCACCTTTAAAAAAAGGTCAGTTAAGAACAAATTGTTATTTACAATGACGGCCTACACCGGCCAAACCCAGACGACGCTGGGCCAATTGTGCTCCGCCCTATGGGACTCCCAATCACGGCCGATTGTGGTACAGCCTGGAATCGAACCAGGGTGTCTGTAGTGACACCTCAAGCACTGTGATGCAGTGCCTTAGACCGCTGCGCCACTCAGGAGCAGTAACCTTGTAGATTAGTGCCCTGCAGTGAATGGCAGTGCTGTCTCACATGAACAGTATCAGCAGTGTTAAGGCTGTGGCTGTATGTCTGTCTTTTTGTAGGACGTCTTTATCGAAAGTGTTTTTATCGAAAAGTGACTTACATTTAACACACTCTGTATATGTGGCCCATAGGTCACACCCACAACCCCGGTGTTGCAAGGACTAGATGTCTGAGTGAGTGTTGTCTCATACTGTAGATGTCTGAGTGTCAGTGTTCTGTGTGTCTCTGCTACAGTAACCAGGCGGTGAGGATGTTGGAGTGTAGAGACAAGCCCACACCAGACATGTTTGGAGAGTTGCTCCGCAACGCCAGCACCGTCGGAGACCTACGCAACTGTCCGGTGAGTTTTGCAGAGGCGTATGAGGTTAATCCGAGGAATGATTATTGCTGGTTGAAAACTTAACCCATACTAGCACACTATACCTTACCATACCATAGACCAGGGTGTCCCAACCACCGGGCCCCGGACCGGTACCGAGGCCGCAGAGTGTTTGCTAACAGGCCACCGGGCCTTGGCATAAAAATAAGAATATAGATTTCTCCCCTAGCACACGGGACGGGTAATCAATTAACTCACCGCAGCCCATTCTGCGAGCCAGTCGCTAATTTCTTACTCCCTGAAGCATAGAAATAACACATGCTGATTGGATATGCATCAAGTCTCTTACATTCTATAATTATAATATAATATGCCATTTAGCAGACGCTTTTATCCAAAGCGACTTACAGTCATGTGTGCATACATTTTTAGGTATGGGTGGTCCCGGGGATCGAACCCACTACCCTGGCGTTACAAGCGCCATGCTCTACCAATTGAGCTACAGAGGACCACAATACTGACAGTAGCCACCTAAACTTTTCAATGTGAGAGTGCCGTTGTAGTTACAGTAGCAAGTTTTACATGGACATGGATGATATGCAATTTCCAAAAACATGAATGTCACAGCATTCTACACTGAACAAAAATATATACACAAAACATGTAAAGTGTTGGTCCCATGTTTCATTAACTGAAATAAAATATCCCAGAAATGTTCCATACTCACAAAAAGCTTATTTCTCACATCACTGTTAGTGAGCATTTATTTGCCAAGATAATCCATCTATCTGACAGGTGTGGCATATCAAGAAGCTGATTAAACATCATGATCATTACACAGGTGCACCTTGTGCTGGGACAATAAAAGGCCACTTTAAAATGTGCAGTTTTGTCACACAACACAATGCCACAGATGTCTCAAGTTTTGAGGGAGCGTGCAATTGGCATGCTGACTCCAGGAATGTCCACCAGAGCTGTTGCCAGAGAATGTAATGTTAATTTCTCTATCATAAGCCGCCTCCAATGTTGTTTTAGAGAATTTGGCAGTATGTCCAACCAGCCTCACAACCGCAGACCACGTGTATGGCGTCGTGTGGGCGAGGGGTTTGCTGATGTCAATGTTGTGAACAGAGTGCCCCATAGTGGCGGTGGGGTTATTGTTTGGGCAGGCATAAGCTATAGACAACGAACACAATTGCATTTTATTGAGATACCGTGACGAGATCCTGAGGCCCATTGTCGTGCCATTCATCCGCCGCCATCACCTCATGTTTCAGCATGATAATACACGGATCTGTACACAATTCCTGGAAGCTGAAAATGTCCCAGTTCTTCCATGGCCTGCATTCTCACCAGACATGTCTCCCATTGAGCATGTTTGGGATGCTTTGGATCGACGTGTACGACAGCGTGTTCCAGTTCCCGCCAACATCCAGCAACTTTGCACAGCCATTAAAAAGGAGTGGGACAACATTCCACCGGCCACAATCAACAGCCTGATCAACTCTATGCGAAGGAGATGTGTCGCGCTGCATGAGGCAAATGGTGGTCACACCAGATACTGACTGGTTTTCTGATCCATGCCGCTACCTTTTCTTTAAGGTATCTGTGGCCAACAGATACATATCTGTATTCCCAGTCATGTGATATCCATAAATTAGGGCCTAATGAATTTATTTCAATTGACTGATTTCCTCATATGAACTGTAACTCAGTAAAATCTTTGAAATTGTTGCATGTTGCGTTTATATTTTTGTTCAGTGTATTGCATTTATATTCACCACATATTATTGCTTATGGTGGTGAAAATTGTCTGATTATTCATATGTCCTGTAGCCACCTTTGGGTTATTCTTCAGTCAAGGAAAATAAATGTACTCTCACACATGCGCATGCACAGACACACAATCTAACTGAGGCTTGTATTGAGTGTTGGCCGACTGGTTCAGCGGAACTCCATGGCTTCTAGAGTGGCAGTAAACAACATTCGGAGTCCTCAGTGCTCCGACTGTAATATCTCTGGGTTAGAAACTGAACTGAAAGGACCAGGGTGGCTCAACATGAGCAGCTCAAAGTATTAGCTTTGAAAATGTAACCCATATGAAATCTCTGTCAGACATGACTCTTATTATTCTGATACTCCCTTCCAGCTTTATCTTATCAAACATTAAAGCCTCTAAAGTACCATAAGGTAAACATTAGAGTCTACATAAATATAACGAGCTCACACAGTGTTGTACAAATTAGAAATTTTTCAGAACTGTATTTTTTTCCCACTAAGTATTGGCTGACTCTGAGGCTTCTACCGCTGGTCTGTGTGTGAGAAACCCCAGTGCTCTCATGTTCTCTGAGAAAGTCTCCTCTGTTTATGGCAAATTTGGCGTGTGCACAATCGCTGCCTTCAGGGGGCCTGCCGCCTGCCTGTTTCCAGCCTCACTTCTGGGAAACGAGGTCAAGATGGCAGGTGCATGCGGTGACATGCGTCCCTCTCCCCACGCAAACACACACATACAAACACACACAGACACACAAACACACACATACAAACACACACATACAAACACACACATACCGCTCTGGCCAAATCAGCTCTATGAAAGGAGTCCTGTGGTAACCTTCTCTTAAGGACCCCCACATGCTGCTAGGCCCAGTGTGGCCCAGTGTGTGGGTAGAGTGTATGTGTAAAGGAAGGTTGGCTCTCTGTGACAGGCATAGAAGTGACACTTGAATTGGGGGATGTCATTGTCAGGACTTGGCCTACAGCCAGCTGACCTTTTCAGACACAGCTCACTGTGAGGGCTGCCTTGAAATGAACCATCGTCAATGCTGAACTAGCTAAATGGATAAAGATCACTGTCCACTCAGTACGTAATGAGTCATGGTAGACTTTGCTTGAGGATTTTTTTGTTTGTTAGATGATTTTGTGTTTATTTTTGTGATTTATTACGCTCAATTTACCTTCTGTCTCTCCCATTCCATCTCTTGCCCCCTACCTTTCTTCTCCCCCCTCCTCTTCACACACTCTCTTCTTCCCTCTCTCTCCTTCTTCCCTCTCTCCTCCTTCCCTCCCTACCTTCAGAGTAACTGTGGGGAGAAGCTGCGTATCCGTCGGGTGCTGATGAACTCTCCAGAGATCATCACTATAGGTCTGGTGTGGGACTCTGACCACTCAGACCTGGCAGAGGATGTCATCCACAGCCTGGGCACCTGCCTGCGCCTGGGGGATGTAAGACACATGCGCACATGCGCACACACAAACACACATACACAGAGACACACACACTCACTCTTAAAGTTTACTTTACAAGATGCCACAAAGTTAGACTGTACTGGGTTTGCATGTGCTGTAATGTTTCTAGCCCCTGCCACCATCCATCTGTCCTCTCCCTGTCCCCCACAGCTCTTCTACAGAGTGACTGATGACAAGGCCAAGCAGACAGAGCTCTACCTGGTGGGCATGGTGTGTTACTACGGCAAGCACTACTCCACCTTCTTCTTCCAGACCAAGATACGCAAGTGGATGTACTTTGACGACGCACATGTCAAGGAGGTAAAAAACGAATACCAAATCGACCCGGGTGAAAGGCTCCAGAAGTTGCCCTTATCCACAGATCTAGGATTAGATTACTTTACCCCTAATTCTAACCATAACCATTATGATGAAAAAATATCTGACCCTGTGTCAGTGGTTAGGGGCAACTTTTACCTACTCTGTGTTAGGCATGGGCATGAGTAATCGAGTACTCGAACGGACGTCAAAGCTCAATCTTCAACCAGAGGTCTAATTATTTTCAAATACTGTAAAACTATTTGGTGGAATGTGCTTTGTGGCTGCCTGAACGGCCAAGTAAAATTCTGTCTTGAAGACAATGTTACTTTGCTTTACATCACACAGTTCTTCTCCCTAAATTCCCTTTCCCCTCTGTGTCTTATTCACTCAATTGCATTCCGACCGCTCCCTACACACCCGTGCTGAGTGCGCACACAAGCTCCCGTTAGGCCTACAGAAATAAATACCTATAAAACGTATCTAACTGATAGGATACACAAACTACATTCCTTGAGAAATGATGACAGTTTTATCATTAATTCTAACTGGACTGCTTGATTGAAGTAGGAAAATATGTGTTCCAACAACGAGCTTCAGTTTCTGAATAATTGCGTCCTGTCTATTTTCTGCTTAGGCTACTTTGCGAACTGCCATTTAGAGTTGGTTAGCCTAGGCTATAACTCCCCTAAACATAGACAGGTTCCACACTGAAAATACGCAAAAACATTAGTTTGATAAAGACAAAGAGCATATTTTCCTCAGAATCATTAAGCATAGGCCTAACTCACCAAACAGATGGCATTGCCATGCAGTGTTCAATGTGAAATTGTTAATCTATTTACAAAATTCCAAAGAACAGGCAGAATAAACTAAATCGAATGTATGTATATCGAAAAGAAAACAGATTTTGGTTTGTAACCCAGAATTCTTTCTTCTTTCAACTCGCCAAATTGAGCCCTGCTTCAAATGATCACTTTTTGAGAATAACCGTTCCAGATTCGAGATGCGCATCACTTCGCACTGGCAGCTTTTTTCATTTGGAAAAATATTCTGTTATATTACATCATGTTTTTTACTATAAAATAGGTGTCTTGACTGTGATAAGGGCTTGGGAAATAAGACCGTCTTGTCTGCTAAATTAACGAAACAAAGCTATGCCATTGCACAGCCATAGGCTTCTACAAGCAAGCACCACTGCTGAGGTCACTGCCTTTTTGAAGATTGTGTTCCACTATATAATATAACCAGTTGATATTACGGTTTCAATAAATTAATCTTAAATAGCAATTGCTTTTTTATTGACTACATATGTATGGTGCAATTTAGCAATTAGGATTTGTTATCTCTAATAGTTATGATAAATTAGGCATTGTTGCGTACTGTTGGTATAGGCCTATAGATACAGTGGCTTGCGAAAGTATTCACCCCCCTTAGCATTTTTCCTATTTTGTTGCCTTACAACCTGGAATTAAAATTGATTTTTTGGGGGTTTGCATCATTTGATTTACACAACATGCCACTTTGAAGATGCAAAATATATTTTTTTGTGAAACAAACAAGAAATAAGACAAAAAAACTGAAAACTTGAGCGTGTATAACTATTCACCCCCCAAAGTCAATACTTTGTAGAGCCACCTTTTGCAGCAATTACAGCTGCAAGTCTCTTGGGGTATGTCTCTATAAGCTTGGCACATCTAGCTACTGGGATTTTTTCCCATTCTTCAAGGCAAAACTGCTCCAGCTCCTTCAAGTTGGATGGGTTCCGCTGGTGTACAGCAATCTTTAAGTCATACCACAGATTCTCAATTAGATTGAGGTCTGGGCTTTGACTAGGCCATTCCAAGACATTTAAATGTTTCCCCTTAAACAACTCAAGTGTTGCTTTAGCAGTATGCTTAGGGTCATTGTCCTGCTGGAATGTGAACCTCCGTCCCAGTCTCAAATCTCTGGAAGACTGAAACAGGTTTCCCTCTAGAATTTCCCTGTATTTAGCGCCATCCATCATTCCTTCAATTCTGACCAGTTTCCCAGTCCCTGCCGATGAAAAACACCCCCACAGCATGATGCTGCCACCACCATGCTTCACTGTGGGGGGGATGGTGTTCTCGATGTGATGAGAGGTGTTGGGTTTGCGCCAGACATAGCGTTTTCCTTGATGGCCAAAAAGGTCAATTTTAGTCTCATCTGACCAGAGTACCTTCTTCCATATGTTTGGGGAGTCTCCCACATACCTTTTGGCGAACACCAAACGTGTTTGCTTATTTTTTTCTTTAAGCAATGGCTTTTTTCTGGCCACTCTTCCGAGTGTACGGCTTAAAGGGGTCCTATGGACAGATACTCCAATCTCCGCTGTGGAGCTTTGCAGCTCTTTCATGGTTATCTTTGGTCTTTTTGTTGCCTCTCTGATTAATGCCCTCCTTGCCTGGCCCGTGAGTTTTGGTGGGCAGCCCTCTCTTGGCAGGTTTGTTGTGGTGCCATATTCTTTCAATTTTTTAATAATGGATTTAATGGTGCTCCGTGGGATGTTCAGTGTCTGATATTTTTTTATAACCCAACCCTGATCTGTACTTCTCCACAACTTTGTCCCTGACCTGTTTGGAGGGCTCCTTGGTCTTCATGGTGCCACTTGCTAGGTGGTGCCCCTTGCTTAGTGGTGATTCAGACTCTGGGGCCTTTCAGAACAGGTGTATATACAGTGGGGGAAAAAAGTATTTAGTCAGCCACCAATTGTGCAAGTTCTCCCACTTAAAAAGATGAGAGAGGCCTGTAATTTTCATCATACGTACACGTCAACTATGACAGACAAATTGAGAGAAAAAAATCCAGAAAATCACATTGTAGGATTTTTAATGAATTTATTTGCAATTTATGGTGGAAAATAAGTATTTGGTCACCTACAAACAAGCAAGATTTCTGGCTCTCACAGACCTGTAACTTCTTCTTTAAGAGGCTCCTCTGTCCTCCACTCGTTACCTGTATTAATGGCACCTGTTTGAACTTGTTATCAGTATAAAAGACACCTGTCCACAACCTCAAACAGTCACACTCCAAACTCCACTATGGCCAAGACCAAAGAGCTGTCAAAGGACACCAGAAACAAAATTGTAGACCTGCACCAGGCTGGGAAGACTGAATCTGCAATAGGTAATCAGCTTGGTTTGAAGAAATCAACTGTGGGAGCAATTATTAGGAAATGGAAGACATACAAGACCACTGATAATCTCCCTCGATCTGGGGCTCCACGCAAGATCTCACCCCATGGGGTCAAAATGATCACAAGAACGGTGAGCAAAAATCCCAGAACCACACGGGGGGACCTAGTGAATGACCTGCAGAGAGCTGGGACCAAAGTAACAAAGCCTACCATCAGTAACACACTATGCCGCCAGGGGCTCAAATCCTGCAGTGCCAGACGTGTCCCCCTGCTTAAGCCAGTACATGTCCAGGCCCGTCTGAAGTTTACTAGAGTGCATTTGGATAATCCAGAAGAGGATTGGGAGAATGTCATATGGTCAGATGAAACCAAAATATAACTTTTTGGTAAAAACTCAACTTGTCGTGTTTGGAGGACAAAGAATGCTGAGTTGCATCCAAAGAACACCATACCTACTGTGAAGCATGGGGGTGGAAACATCATGCTTTGGGGCTGTTTTTCTGCAAAGGGACCAGGACGACTGATCCGTGTAAAGGAAAGAATGAATGGGGCCATGTAACGTGAGATTTTGAGTGAAAACCTCCTTCCATCAGCAAGGGCATTGAAGATGAAACGTGGCTGGGTCTTTCAGCATGACAATGATCCCAAACACACCGCCTGGGCAACGAAGGAGTGGCTTCGTAAGAAGCATTTCAAGGTCCTGGAGTGGCCTAGCCAGTCTCCAGATCTCAACCCCATAGAAAATCTTTGGAGGGAGTTGAAAGTCTGTGATGCCCAGCGACAGCCCCAAAACATCACTGCTCTAGAGGAGATCTGCATGGAGGAATGGGACAAAATACCAGCAACAGTGTGTGAAAACCTTGTGAAGACTTACAGAAAACGTTTGACCTGTGTCATTGCCAACAAAGGGTATATAACAAAGTATTGAGAAACTTTTGTTATTGACCAAATACTTATTTTCCACCATAATTAGCAAATAAATTCATAAAAAATCCTACAATGTGATTTTCTGGATTTTTTTTCCTCATTTTGTCTGTCATAGTTGACGTTTACCTATGATGAAAATTACAGGCCTCTCTCATCTTTTTAAGTGGGAGAACTTGCACAATTGGTGGCTGACTAAATACTTTTTTTCCCCACTGTATACTGAGATCATGTGACAGATCATGTGACACTTAGATTGCACACAGGTGGACTTTATTTAACTAATTATGTGACTTCTGAAGGTAATTGGTTGCACCAGATCTTACTTAGGGGCTTCATAGCAAATGGGATGAATACATATGCACGCACCACGTTATTTATTTTTTAGACGTTTTTGAAAGAAGTTATTTTTTTCATTTCACTTCACTAATTTGGACTATTTTGTGTATGTCCATTACATGAAATCCAAATAAAAATCCATTTAAATTACAGGTTGTAATGCAACAAAATAGGAAAAACGCCAAGGGGGATGAATAATTTTGCAAGGCACTGTAATTGCGCACATATTTTTTTCACAGTGTGGGCCTTGTGTTTTAAATATGTATTTTGAGAACTCGAACAGTCAAAAAATGTCAAATGCCCATCCTAACTCTGTGTGAATGTATTTTTTGAATGTTTACTGCGTAGTTTCTGTGTTTGTAGTAAGAAATCATACAAGTTGTGTTTGGCTATGCTGTGCTCCTCACTTGGATGATGTTACTGTGAGATGAACATGAGCTATACAGGTGTTTTTTCAGAATCCTCTCAGATATGAATCCTCCATCTTATATGTTAATGTCTCTGTCTCTCTGTCTCTCTCTCTCTCTCTCTCTCTCTCTCTCACGTTGCTGTGTCAAGAGGGAGAGGATATTAATCTTTTAACAGCGAAATACCTAATGTTTTCTTTCATTGCTAAACAGTGGCCTGGCCCGTCGGCTCTATTCTAAGCCCTCTGTCTCTCTCTGTGTGTGTTTATTGCTCATTTCACCGCAGCGCCATTAGTTTACGTTGACTCACTGACGGGCTGGGGGTGTTTTTGTTCCATTTTTTATCTGTGACATAGTTGTCATGACAGCCAAAGGAAGGATGGTTGTCATAGGAGTAGTTTAGTTTAGGGGCAATTTCACAGTAACGGAATTACGCTGAGACTGCTTTGAACAATTTATACAGTAAAACAAAAAAAATACATTTACTGGAAAGTTCCATTTACAGTTCTTCCTGTAAATGGGTTTTTGTCAAATGTTCAGTGGAAATTGTTAAAAGTGGTCCTTGTGCATAGAGTTTTCTATAGTTTGTTAAACTTTGAAATCAATGGTTTTTGTTTGGTATACATTTTAAAGTGAAAAATATCAGCGTAATTCTGTTACCAATGGAATTGCCCTTAGTCAACTTTATTATCCTACGGTGGATATTCACGCCATACAAAAATGACAATATAAACAACAATCAACATGTATGTACAGGTATTCATGCAGAGAAACATGTAACCTGCCACAGTCTTTATCATGGACAATGAGAGGTCTGCAGAGTTTCTGAGGACCTCAAAGCCTGTCACATGAGGTCAAATGGATGAACTCTGATTGGTGGTTCACACTTCAGCAGTGTTGTGACCAGTCATGGGTGTGAGTACTGATTGGCTTCTCCTGAAGTTCCAGGTCAGGTCCCCTCTCCCAGTGTGACGAGGTGTGTGAGCAACGAGCAGAGGCGTTAGTTAGTTAGTTCCACACGCCTGGCCTGCTGACCCAGCTGTGGTGTATCTTTCTCAGCCCCTCTCCTGGGGGGAGGAAATGACACACAGCTCTGTGGGCACCGGGCCGCCCCCCCCCCCCCCCCCACCCCCCCCCCCTCCCCACTGCTCTGGCTCTCTGCTATCTTTTTCCCCTCTTCTCTCTCTACCAAGTCCTCCCCCCTCCCCCACTGGTCTGGGTCTCTCTCATCTCCTTTCTGACATCCCTTCTTCCCTTTTCCCCCTCCTCTATCCTTTATCTTCTCCCCACTTTTCCCATCTCCCTTCTCTCCTCTCTATCCTATCATTGCTTTAGTCTCATAATGGCTGTGCTGTACATTCACTCCTGGACAGTTGCACACAACGCAGCTCTCTCTCTCTCTCTCTCTCTCTCTCTCTCTCTCTCTCTCTCTCTCTCTCTCTCTCTGTGTGTGTCTCTGTCTGTAAAGCCGGTACATGAGCCAGTGAGGGTTTGAACAAAAGTGGCCTGAAAACAAGGATATCCTTCCATTGTTTATCTGGACAGGAGGGCGTGGCCAATACAGAGCCAGAGCACAGCGACCACCACTGTAGACACACACACACACACGTACACACTTTGCTGATACGTCGGTGTTGTGCTGTTACTGATTCCTGTGCTGAGTGAGAGCAGAGCGTTCATCGTACGTTTGGAAAACCAGGTTGAGGTAAGATGGGGTTGGAAAATGGGAGGGAAAGACTTCGCTTGATAACAACTTCCCTCCTGACTCTTTTGGTTCCCTCCCCTCTGGCGCTTACAGAGTCAGTTAATGTTAGCCAGTAAATATTGGACTGTAAATGTTGTCTTGACTAACTCTCATTCTTATGTGAGCTCACTCGCATCGCTCTGTGTGTAATTTTCTGGATGTTTCTCTTTCCCAACAGTTTGAAATTCACATTAGGGATGAGCTGAATACTCACATCTAACCACCATTATTTTGAGTTCCCTGGAAAGTTGTGACAGAGTTTCCTTCTCTTCCTGGTAGATTGGACCCAAGTGGAAGGACGTGGTGTCACGGTGCATCAAGGGCCACTACCAGCCCCTGCTACTGTTATACGCTGACCCCCGGGGGACGCCCGTGTCAGTGCAGGACCTGCCCTCCCGCCTGGACCTGCACCACTTCAACAAGGCTTACTACGACAGCGAGGACTCGGGTACGAGACGCCTCGCTTCACACAAGATCAGTGCTACACACACAGGATGGCTGTTACATACTACACCTGGGTTCAAATAGTATTTGTTTTCTTTCAAATGAAACTAATGGAATAGTCCCCAAATTGCAAACCCTGCCCATCTGGTACTCCGGCTTGTGTCGTCCCATTATCTCTGCAGGCTGTCTGTGTCTGTTCCATTGTCATGGTGATGTGTTTTGCTTATCATGTGTTGTCATCAGGCCGAGAGCCGTCCATCTCCAGTGACACTCGCACTGACTCGTCGACAGACAGCTACTCCTACAAGCACTCCCACTCCCACCATGAGTCCATGGCCAGCCACTTCTCCTCCGACTCCCAGGGAACCATAATCTGTAACCCGGACAATGATGCAGCCTCCCACAGCAGCCTGGAGACCCCAGGTAGGAGGAGGAGGAATACAGGGGTGACATACACACACAGACAGGATATATATACTAGGACTGTCCCAGACAAAAAAAATGTTGGTCGACCGAAAGTCGTCTGTTCTTTCGACATTTTTAAACGTGTATTTTTCCATATACAGTATAGACACACCCTATGTGTTTTAATCAAATCAACTATATGCTTGTCTGATGCTTTAAGTGAACTGTTTGATGAAATAAGACACAAATGACTCAAGAGGGAGCCAGAGATCAAGATAACCATAAGGGAAAAAACGTATTAACCTGACCCGACCATCCTCCTCCAGTTCCTGCTTGCTTTCTACTTTCCTGAAGTTGCCGGTAATAGGCTACACCAGGAGTCGGCAACCTTTCTCATGTGGAATGCCAATTTATCTTACAATTTGTACCGATCTGCGTGCCAGTTGTGGTTTTCATATGTACATTTCCGTTGAACAGTTTCATTTAATTTATAATAATGTCTTCGTATCTCAAAATCGTTGCCATATGGTTAATCAAAATTCTATCCAAATCTAAATGAAAATTATACAAACCTAAAAAGTAACTTCTATTGCCATTGCCAACTATGTAAACATAGCCTACATAAAGCCAACAAATAAAAACATTGCAGCCTGCAGGTAGAAAATATCCTGATAAAAGTGAATTATCGTATAAATCACATTGGCTACGCATGGCCTGTCTGCAACGAACTTGAAACATTGTATCAACTATTAACTTGGGTCAGGCCTGAAGCTTGTGCTAGCAAACTTGCAACATTGAATAAAATATTCTGGGCCCTCAGAGTTTCCAGCGCCAGTGAGCTCGGGATAGACACAGCTGTAGGCTTTTGCGCAAGGGATAAGAGCTCATCAGGTAGGCCTATTTTATGAAGTTTCCACTGGATCAGAGTATGACATTTTTCCATTCATGCTGAGTGGTTATCGAAAGGGAGAGAGCTGGAAATATTTTAAAGATACATTGAGGAACTATTGTCATTCTCAATGGATGTAAAAACAGACTTTGTTTGCTTGTTTGAGGTGAAGAAAACATTACTTTGAGAAGCTCCACAGCTCATTAGTGGTGGCGCATTAAGCCAATCAGAAATACTATCAGATCCCCAAATGGGCACATTTATATATGCCTACATTTGCACGCAGGCCAGGTAGCCAATAGGCCTACTTCTATGTGTAATCAGGTGTGCGTCCTTACTCAGCATTGACAGTAGCGCTCCAAACAAAAGACAATGACTGAATTGACAAAACTCGTAAATGGAATGAAATAAACCAACTTGTTTCTCACAAGTGTAGCATAGGTTGTGCACTCTGCACACAACGTGTCCACTCTGACAATGAGAATGGTAAAAGACTGGAATAATAATATATTGAATGGATTAACAGAAATTACCATAACCAAACAAACATTGTAGATTAGAAATTATAGGAATTAACGGTAAATGTACTACTGGTGATATACACTACCAGTCAAAAGTTTGGACACACCTACTCATTCAAGGGTTTTTCTTTATTTTGACTATTTTCTGCATTGTAGAAGTGTGCTTTGCACACTCTTGGCATTCTCTCAACCATCTTCACCTGGAATGCTTTTCCAACAGTCTTGAAGGAGTTCTCACATATGTTGACCACTTGTTGGCTGCTTTTCCTTCACTCTGCGGTCCGACTCATCCCAAACCATCTCAATTGGGTTGAGGTCGGGGGATTGTGGAGGCCAGGTCCTCTGATGCAGCACTCCATCACTCTCCTTCTTGATCAAATAGCCCTTACACAGCCTGGAGGTGTTTTGGGTCATTGTCCTGTTGAAAAACAAATTATAGTCCCACTAAGCCCAAACCAGATGGGATGGCATATGCTGGTTAAGTGTGCCTTGAATTCTAAATAAATCACAGACAGCGTCACTAGCAAAGCACCCCCACACCATAACACCTCCTCCTCCATGCTTTACGGTGGGAAATACACATGCAGAGATCATCCGTTCACAACCACCGCGTCTCACAAAGACATGGCGGTTGGAACCAAAAATATCAAATTTGGACTCCAGACTAAAGGACACATTTCCACCGGTCTAATGTCCATTGCTTGTGTTTCTTGGCCCAAGCAAGTCCCTTCTTCTTATTGGTGTCCTTTAGTAGTGGTTTCTTTGCAGCAATTCGACCATGAAGGCCTGATTCACACAGTCTCCTCTGAACAGTTGATGTTGAGATGTGTCTGTTACTTGAACTCTGTGAAGCATTTATTTGGGCTGCAATTTCGGAGGCTGGTAACTCTAATGAACTTATCCTCTGCAGCAGAGGTAACTCTGGGTCTTCCATTCCTGTGGCAGTCCTCATGAGAGCCAGTATCATCATAGCGCTTGATGGTTTTTGTGACTGCACTTGAAGAAACTTTCAAAGTTCTTGAAATGATCTGTATTGACTGACCTTCATGTCTTAAGGTAATGATGGACTGTCGTTTCTCTTTGCTTATTTGAGCTGTTCTTGCCATAATATGGACTTGGTCTTTTACCAAATAGGGCTATCTTCTGTATACCCCCTTACCTTGTCAAAACACAACTGATTGGTTCAAAAGCATTAAGAAGGAAGGAAATGCCACAAATAAACTTTTAAGAAGGCACACCTGTTCATTGAAATGCATTCCAGGTGACTACCTCATGAAGCTGGTTGAGAGAATTCCAAGAGTGTGCAAAGCCGTCATCAAGGCAAAGGGTGGCTACTTTGAAGAATCTCAAATATAAAATATATTTTGTTTTGTTTAACACTTTTTTGGTTACTACATGATTCCATATGTGTTATTTCATAGTTTTGATGTCATCACTACTATTCTACAATGTAAAAAATAGTAAAAAGAAAAGAAAAACCCTTGAATGAGTAGGTGTGTCCAAACATTTGACTCCCACGCATATACACAGACTAAGCTATATATTTATTCATGCTTTTACCTTGCACACATGCAACTACTTAGGATTAAGCATGTAATGCTTACCCAAACATACTGAGACATATTTGTAAGTACTGTATAGAGGATTAAAGCCACAGCCATTACCCAATCATGTTGATCATTGATCATGTGTCATCATGTCTCTCATGTCCTAACCACATAAACGGTCATTGAAAATGTCCTCCCCCACTTCTCGTTGTTGCTAAGGCCAAGTGGCGGACAGTGGGTCAGTGCAGTGCCACTCTCTGAGGAAAGGCGGGACAGTGGACAGAAAGGGCGGGGCCAGTGACAGGAGGCGGAGCTCTAGTCGTCCACGGCGACTTGAGGAGAGGAGCCGGGGCTCTAAGACTGACGAGGCCACGTCGGCAGGTTACCACAGCGAGGGTACGCAGGAACCAATCACACGGCAGAACTAGGAGACTAGGGACCAATCACATGGCAGAGCCAGGGGACAAGTGACCTATGACAGAAGGGCATGATGACTCAGGAGACTATATACTGTATCTAGCAACTTAGACTTCATCAGAATCAGTGCCTCAGTAGTTCAAAATATTTTGGTTTTAGAAATTTAACCAGAAGATCAGAATCAGGTACAGGAGTAGGGTATCGTGTAGTATACAAAAATATGTGTGTCCTTACCATTTTATTTTGTTCTGTCCAGTTATCAGTTATCACCAAAGTTGTCACTCACGTTGCACTTTCAGCCCATTATTTTCTTGCTTTTTCCACCTCCCCCATCAACACATGACATCACACTACTAATGTCTTTATCTCCCACTCTCTCTCTGTCTCCCTCCCTCCATCTCACTCCTCTTTTCTCCCCTCTCTCCCTGGTTTCTAGGTGAGACTCTGAAAGAGCAGCAGGCACCTCGCACCGCAACCAAGTCCTCCTCCTCCAGTCGACTGAGGGACTTCAAGGAGACCATGAGCAACATCATCCACAGCCGGCCCCTCTCCGCCTCTTCCTCGGGCTCCGGGGCCCTTGGGGGTCTAAGGGTTGAGCCGGGGGCCACCACCAAGTCAAGAGACTGGGAGGCCGACAGCACCAGCAGTGAGTCCAAGTCAAGCTCCTCTGGGGGACGCTACAGACCGGCCTGGAGGCCCCGGAGAGAGGTCCTCAATATAGACAGCATCTTCAGCAGGGAGAAACGCAAACAGGCCGGGTATAGTCCCCTAGGGGCCACCCTGCCTGAAGACAGTGGGGCCCCAGCCGAGGGCCCCACAGGGTCACTCACTGGAAAAGGACAGGAGCCCTTTGGTAATATGGCCTCCTCCTGGACCCTGCCGACCCCCAGGGGCCATAACATGGAGCAGCAGCCCCCCAGGCTCATCCAGAGGATGGAGAGCGGCTATGAGAGCAGCGAGAGGAACAGTAACAGTCCTGTCAGCCTGGACATGCCTCTCGGCGAGGGACCCAATTCTGCTAATGCACACAGGTACAGTAGAGTATATACAGTTGAAGTCAGAAGTTTACATACACCTTAGCCAAATACATTTAAACTCAGTTTTTCACAATTCCTGACATTTAATCCTAGTAAAAATTCCCGGTCTTAGGTCAGTTAGGATCACCACTTCATTTTAAGAATGTGAAATGTCAGAATAATAGAGTGAATGATTTATTTCAGCTTTTATTTCTTTCATCACATTCCCAGTGGTTCAGAAGTTTCCATACACTCAATTAGTATTTGGTAGCATTGCCTTTAAATTGTTTAACTTGGGTCAAACGTTTCGGGTAGCCTTCCACAAGCTTCCCACAATAAATTGGGTGAATTTTGGCCCATTCCTCCTGACAGAGCTGGTGTAACTGAGTCAGGTTTGTAGGCCACCTTGCTCGCACACGCTTTTTCAGTTCTGCCCACAAATGTTCTATAGGATTGAGGTCAGGGCTTTGTGATGGCCATTCCAATACCTTGACTTTGTTGTCCTTAAGCCATTTTGCCACAACTTTGGAAGTATGCTTGGGGTCATTGTTCATTTGGAAGACCCATTTGCGACCAAGCTTTAACTTCCTGACTGATGTCTTGAGATTTTGCTTCAATATAGCCACATAATTGTCCTTCCTCATGATGCCATCTATTTTGTGAAGTGCACCAGTCACTCCTGCAGCAAAGCACCCCCACAGCATGATGCTGCCACCCCCATGCTTCACGGTTGGGATGGTGTTCTTCGGCTTGCAAGAGTCCCCCTTTTTCCTTCAAACATAACGATGGTCATTATGGCCAAACAGTTATATTTTTGTTTCATCAGACCAGAGGACATTTCTCCAAAAAGTACGATCTTTGTCCCCGTGTGTAGTTGCAAACCGTAGTCTGACTTTTTTATGGCGGTTTTGGAGCAGTGGCTTCTTCCTTGCTGAGCGGCCTTTCAGGTTATGTCGATATAGGACTCGTTCTACTGTGGATATAGATACTTTTGCACATGTTTCCTCCAGCATCTTCAAAAGGTCCTTTGCTGTTGTTCTGGGATTGATTTGCACTTTTCGCACCAAAGTACGTTAATCTCTAGGAGACAGAACGCGTCTCCTTCCTGAGCGGTATGATGGCTGCGTGGTCACATGGTGTTTATACTTGCGTACTATTGTTTGTACAGATGAACGTGGTACCTTCAGGCGTTTGGAAATTGCTTCCAAGGATGAACCAGACTTGTGGAGGTCTACAATTATTTTTTCTGAGGTCTTGGCTGATTTCTTTTGATTTTCCCATGATGTCAAGCAAAGAGGCACTGAGTTGGAAGGTAGGCCTTGAAATACATCCACAGGTACACCTCCAATTGACTCAAATGATGTCAATTAGCCTATCAGAAGCTTCTAAAGCCATGACATACTTTTCTGGAATTTTCCAAGCTGTTTAAAGGCACAGTCAACTTAGTGTGTGTAAACTTCTGACCCACTGGAATTGTAATACTGTGAATTATAAGTGAAATAATCTGTCTGTAAACAATTGTTGGAAAAATTACTTGTGTCATGCACAAAGTAGATGTCCTAACCGACTTGCCAAAACGATAGTTTGTTAACAAGAAATTTGTGGAGTGGTTGAAAAATGAGTTTTAATGACTCCAACCTAAGTGTATGTAAACTTCCGACTTCAACTGTACATACTGCTAGGACCGCTATGAAAGATTCCAGATGATCGTAACTCACATATCCGAAAAGGGTAGACTCACACAGGGACATGATGAACTGCATATGGTATGGCTGACCTCTCTGTCTGTCTCTCTGTGTGTGTTTCTCAGGGACACCGGTCTGAAGAAGCCCTCCAGCTCCAGCTCAGGTCCATCATGGCGCACCGTGCCCAAGTCTAAGAGCAGCAGTGCTCTCCTGCAGGATGTCAAGGCTTCATGCAGGGGCAACAGCCACATAAGCCTGGGTAGGTCTGAGTCCGTGTGTGTGAGTATGTTTCCCACAATGTGTGTGGGAAAGTGTATTTCTATGTGGAATTGTTTTAGGGTGTGTGTATATATACTACCGTTCAAAAGTTTGTGGTCACTTAGAAATGTCCTTGTTTTCGATAGAAAATCAATTTTTTTGTCCATTAAAATAACATCAAATTGATCAGAAATACAGTGTAGACATTGTTAATGTTGTAAATGGCTATTGTAGCTGGAAACGGCTGATTTTTTATGGAATATCTACATAGGCGTACAGAGGCCCATTATCAGCAACCATCAGTCCTTTGTTCCAATGGCACGTTGTGTTTGCTAATCCAAGTTTATCATTTTAAAAGGTTAATTGATCATTAGAAAACCATTTTGCAATTATGTTAGCACAGCTGAAAACTGTTGTGCTAATTAAAGAAGCAATAGAACTGGCCTTCTTGAGACTAGTTGAGTATCTGGAGCATCAGCAATTGTGGGTTTGATTACAGGCTCAAAATGGCCAGAAACAAATAACTTTCTTCTGAAACTCGTCAGTCTATTCTTGTTCTGAGAAATGAAGGCTATTCCATGCGATAAATTGCCAAGAAACTGAAGATCTCGTACAACATTGTGTACTACTCCCTTCACAGAACAGCGCAAACTGGCTCTAGCCAGAATAGAAAGAGGAGTGGGAGGCCCCGGTGCACAACTGAGCAAGAGGACAAATAAAAATGATTTTCTTTCGAAAACAAGGACATTTCTAAGTGACCCCAAACTTTTGAACGGTAGTGTACATCACACCATGTTTAATGTGAATGTCTGCGTGTTCACCATAGCATGTTTATATGTACTTACACATTATTATGTCACATGTGCGCTGTGTTTCATAGCATGTGACCCCTGAGCAGATGGTTTATGTTCATTCATATCTGTGTGTCTGTGTGCTTAAAGTGTGATGAAGTGTACACACTGTCACTCCTCACACCTTCTCTTACTGCCTTGATATAGAACAGGGAACATTATAGAAAGCTACGATATTAATGTGTTTGTGTGCGTGCATGTGTGACACAGCGGGAGAGGGCCGCAGCGAGCTGGACGAGCTGCAGGAGGAGGTGGCCAGGCGAGCGAGGGAGCAGGAGTTACAGAGGAGGAAGGAGAAGGAGAAGGAGGCCGCCATGGGCTTCAACCCCAGACCCAGCAAGTTCATGGACCTAGACGAACTACAGAACCAGGGTAAGGCCCCAGACACAGCCCCAGCCCCCAGGCCCAACCTAGAGAACAATGACTTATATTAGTTGTTCTGTTGGAGGCAGCCCTGCCCCACCATGTGTTTGTGTGTGTGTGTGTCTCTTTATGTAGCAGGTGTCTCAGTGCTCCATGTTTAAAGCACCCTGAGTGGGCTGCCTAATGGGACTGCTGTTTTCCAACAGAAAAGAGCATTGTTCCCCCACACACACAATAGGAAGTTTCCTCATTCAGAGGGTTAAAATGTGTGGCCGGCCAATGGCCCAGTCACTGTGTGAAAGGGAGGGAAAAAACATGTTTGACTGTTTGCTGCATTTGTAGTGGAGAGAAATTGGATGAACTAGTGAGGCTTGTAGCAGTATTGAGTGAGTTAGGTAAATTGTGCTAGCCAGCTGCGATTCTGAAGTGAAGAAAAGTCTGAGTTAACTCAACTCCACAGTGTGCCTTCTTTGTTTTAAATAGCTTTTTTGGTGTGTTTAAAGAGCTTTGCTTTTGGTATGCGTGTTCCTTAGGCAAAGGGGACGGCTTTGAGCGGTGTGTGTCGGACGCTGAGCTGCTGCTAGACCAGTCTCTGCGGCTGGAGCAGGCTGGCGAGTTGTCTGCCGCTCTGTCTGTGGTTAACGAAGCTGTGTGTAAGTAGCCTTAACCTGCCTCCCTGTGCCTGCTGCCAGCCCAGCCGCCCCACTATAACACTGTATCACCACCTACCTGTCTGTGTCCGTTTGTCTGTCTATGTGTTTCACCTGTAGTCCTTACCAATATTGTGCATAAGACAGTCATGCTAACTGCTAGCCATGATGCTAGCCATGCTGGCCATGATAAATAATTTGAGTTATTATGTACTTGCTACAACTGTGATGTGGTTGTCTCACCCAGTTATCTTAAGATGAATGCCCTAATTGTAAGTCACTGTGGATAAGAGCGTCTACTAAATGACTAAAATGTAAATAAATATATACATTTTTAATAATGTGAACGTGAATGCTACAAGAAGGGTCATTTTGACCTTTGGTGTGAACTTGAGGGTCCTATTGGACAAATATCTACTTCCAGGCCACAGAGTCACTTGGTTTGAACCAGTCATATGACTAGTCTATACCTGAAAGGTTAAGTTGTGCCACGGTATTGGCAGAACAATTGCCGCAATGCGTGTGCAACACAGTGCTCTATCGTCTCCTAGCGATAGTTTGTTACAAAACTCTAACTTTTTAGTGCCCACAACTGTAGCTCTTGTTTTATCCAAATCTTATGACATTTATGCTTTCTGTTCAGTCACACCCACAATAAGAGGCCTGAACCTAAAATAAAAGCCCATAAACATAAGCAGGAGCAGTCTTGAATGAGTAATGACAAGGGGAAGGGACAATTTGGTCTGTCGAAACACACGTTTGGGAATGCTGATAAGGTCAGCAGCCCTCTGTCTACCAACCGTCTCTGTCTGATGATAATGAAACGAGGCGAGTTGCCGGGGTGTTTACCCATCACCGTGGTTACTAGCCTGCCCGCCTGGCAGTGCAGAGAGGGACAGGTCAGGGGTGGAGGGGGGTGGGGAACCCAGCGCTATGACAACCATGTCAACATGGAAGTGAGTCTGTTAGTATGGTGTGTGTCTCTCTGTCTGTGTTTGTCCACATTTCCTAGTATATCTGTGTATTGATGTGACTTTCTCAGTATCACTGTCTCTGTCGTGAGCGTCTTGGACATTGAATGTGTGTTTGATACTCCTGACTCGTCCACAGAAGAATGCTCACACACACCCAACTCTTTCTCACACACACACACACTGTTTCCCTTGTCAGACACCCCAGTAAACCCTCGTCCCACAAACCCCATTTCTCCTTTAAGATCTACAGCAAGTCAAGTCGAGTACTACAAACATCTGAACTAAAGATATTTCACCAGCTAACCAAGACAAAGAGTTAGAAAAATTGCTGCTATATTTCTCAATTCAGCTGCCATGATACAGTATGAGTCAAAATACCAAGGAACAGCCTTTAGTTTCTTCTCAGCCTTCTTAGATATTGCGCCTAGGGAAGGGCTCAGTTTAAAACCATCAATTTAAGTTTTTTGGCTTAACATAATTCACTTTGATTAATTTAACGTTATTGTATATGATTTAACCATTGTGCCGTATGAACAGAATCTTTTGTTAAGAGTCACTGTGGATCTTAATTTTATTTTAATGTACAACACACACAACATCCATGTTACTCACCAAGCGTGGTGCCTGTTTGTGTCCTCCCCCACCCCAAACCCCACCCCTCCCCTCCAAACCCCACCCCTCCCCTCCAAACCCCACCCCCATTAAGTCTAATCCTATGATTTAGTTTTGTGCCAAGTGTTTTTGCATGCATCCCCATAACTCAGCTCTTTATTTTCTGCATTTTTCTTTCTTTTTTTCTTTTCTGCTTTCCTTCCTTTTTTTCGCCCTGTAGCTAAACTCGGGCTTCCCATGCATGAGGGCGGTGCTAACACTCATAGCAGGACAGTGGCTGAGGCCCGGCTGCAAAAGTGCATGAGGAGAGCGAGGGGCCTGCAGCAGCGCATGCAACAACAGCAGGAAGACAGAACCCAGCAACAGGATCAGGAGCAGACAGAGGAGCAGGATCAGCCCTGTCCCTGTCCCCAGGGGCCCCCCAGGTACCAGCACTGTCTCCTGTCTGTGTCCTGTGACTCCCGTCCCCCAGCTGACCTGCCCTGTTCAGCCCACACCCCTGGCTGAGCTCCTCATGTGGCTCTGGAAGGAGTGGAACAAGGGATCACACAGTCCTGGTTTATTCTTTAACATGCAAAATGCCTTGCATGTAGTATAGGAAAAATACCATTGATTTGTACGTAGAAGTTGTGTTCAACGTGCATACAAAAAGTGAGAAATGCTGTTTCATTTCATTTAACCTAGGTTCTTTAAAGTAGGCCTATATATTTGGAGTTTTAACAGTTTGCTGATGTTATCCTACATCCACCCATTAATCCAACATATTTTTTCCAAACACACAATTTTACCCTTATGTTTAAAGATGTACTAGTATTTGCTAATGCCACCTCGTATTCAGTGAAAATGTAGCTAGTGCTGCTGTGTTTTGTGGAGGAAGGGTTGTGTGTGTGGGTGTTTACTGTTTAGTCTTGTGGGGGTTGCTGTGAGGCCAGGACCCAGGGGTTCGGTTCTGAGCCATCCCCTGGGCTAGCCTGTACCAGGCCTAAAGAGTCCATCTGTTACAGGAACATGACACACACACCAGTTTTAGACCTAGAACACAAGCTCTGTTTCAGAGCTCAGAAATGTGAGAGATGCCTGGCCATGATTCACTAACCAGCCCATAATATGAGCCTCTTTCCTCCTCCTTCCTAGTGAACAGCCTGTCCCGATCAAAATACTGTTGATGGACGCCCAGGAGGACCAACCACAAGCAGTCCTGGAAGCCACCAGAAGCACGCCTTCTCCTCTCCATGTTAAGCCCCTCCCCTCCAGTACAAACTCACTCCTTGAGCCCTCGAGCCACCCCCCTGTCTCTATGCCCCCAAGCAATCACACAGGGTCACCCACAGGGGGGTATGTGGCGAAGGCAAGGGGGAGCTGGGAAGGACTGGATATGTCAGGTGTGCTGGAGAACTCCTGCCCTCGTGTGAGACCCCTCCACAAGCACGCTGCCTTCTCCCTGCCTGCCCTGTGTGTGGACGGCTGGGACGAGAGCTATACTGAGGGAGGCCATGACCAGCCCCCAGCTCTTCCCAACCACCAGCCAGCTGCATCCCCGCACTGGAACAGTATCACCCCAGCCCAGACTCTGCCCACCCCACACCCCCACTCCAGGACACCCTCCCCAGTCAGCCACACCTCAGAGGAAAGGGGCCACGCCAACATGGAGGATGCCTACCCCAGACGGCCTTCCCTGGGACCCTCTCAGCCCCCTCCTACCCATCAGAACCACAGCTCCACTGTCCTGATCTCCTCCAACACCTCCAGGCTCGGCCCTCCTCCTCCCCCTCCCACCCGGAACTGGTCCGGCTGGAGCCTGGGTCGGCCGGATGCTATCGACTCCCCCTTCTACACCCCTCCCACAGATTCCCACTGTCCTCCACCCGCCCCCATCCGACCAGGGCGTACCCCATCCCCAGCGTCTGGGGACTACCGGTCAGGTGCCGCCATGCCAGTGGATCACTGGGCAGAGAACGTGACCCGCTTCTACAACTCCCAGCCTGCCCCTGTGGTGGGGTCGCCCTGCGAGGAGCTGTCGGAGCTGGACTCTCTGTACCAGGCGAGCCTGCAGGCCCCCAGCCTGCCCCGGGGCCCACGCGGAGTCAGCCCCCAGCCCACTACGAACAAGCAACGTAAGGATACTCACCGACCAGTGACCACTGTTAAAAAAAAGAGAGAAGATGAATGAGAAAAATGAATTGGGTGAAAGTTGTCCACCACTAATACTGTGTCTCTGTGTTGTATCTGCAGCTGCTAGGAAGCTGTTGTCTGGGCTGGCTGCACCTGGCCGCTCCAAGACTCCCACAGCCGAGTTAGAGAGACATGCCTACAGAACGCCAGGCTACACCAGCAGCCCCAGCAGCCCCACACAACACCCCAAGGTCGGCATCCACAGGGTGTGTGTACGTGTGTGTGCATATATATGTGTGTGTGTTTGTTGGCTGGTTGTGAGGTTCAAAGCTGTGTGTAGTGATTTGGTGCAGATATGTGAAGGCTGTATCTGAGTGACGTGTGTGGGTGGAATGGCATGTGTTTGTGTCAGCCCCTGTGTCTATACATGTATGTATTTGTGCGTGCGTGTGTGTGTGTAGGAGGGTTTTTGACACGATGTGTCTGTTGTTTCCCTGTAGCCTGGGTCATGTGAGCGACCACTGGGAGATGACGAGAACTACAGTGCTGAGAACCTCCGCCGCATCGCCCGCAGTCTGAGTGGCACAGTCATAGGGGGACGACCAGAACACCTCGCCCCCTCCCGCAGCTTTGTGAGTCACACACACACACACACACTAGTGCTAAGCGATTCTTTTTTTTGATTAAACAACTAATTGACAGAGGGCGGTTCAATTACTTGAAGTCGCTCTGGATAACAGCGTCTGCTAAATGACTAAAATGTAATGTATATAAATACCATTTAGTTAGTTTTTTTGTGAGCTGAACGCGCCGTTTCTCTAGAGAGAAATCATATCAAACACGAGAGACATCAAATCAAGAACAAACTGTGGGATGCTGTAGGGAGATGTAGTTTTCAATAGGCAAATATTCATAATAATAAATAATATGCCATTTAGCAGACGCTTTTATCCAAAGCGACTTACAGTCATGCGTGCATAATTTTTTTTTGTGTATGGGTGGTCCCGGGGATCGAACCCACTACCTTGGCGTTACAAGCGCCGTGCTCTACCCCCCTCCTCGGGGCCCTATCTGGGACGCTCAGGTAACCATCAGCCCCCTCCACCTCCAGTCATCAGACCACAGCACCATCCTGGCCCTATCAGAAGTCCTAGTTCAGTGCAGAAAACGTTGTATTTAACTACAATGACCAGAATCCATTGCGCTTGTCTTCCCGGCCCCACACAGAGGAACGTACACAACACAGCGACGAGAGGGATAGACACAGTTTGTGACTCGAGGTAGCTCTACCAGATTGGTAGTTGTAGCAGGCTTGAAACCTTATCTATGCTGAAGAACTACTAAAATAGTGATTTCGCCAGACAGCTCTGCAGCATGGGCAGCTTTGGCAATCCAACGATCACGGGCTACCCTTTTCGAGCCAACTAGCTAAATAGTATGACTCGTTGGGGAGCAGATAGATAACGTTAGATGGTGGTCTGGCTGTCTGGCTGCTACTGCCTGACAGCCAAACAACCATCTAATATAATCACAACTGAAATATTTAATTTAAGTAATGTTCTTAGTAAGTGATAAGCAGTAATGGGCAGTCACTACCATCATGGGACTTTTATTAATTGTTTTTATTCTATGTTGTTAGAGACAGTGGAATGTTTTCATTGTTTAGCTTTGGAATTTAAATTAAAAATCTCTAAAATAATTTCAAGGTCATATTTCATAATGCATTTAATGTAAAAATAATAAAAAAATAAAAAATGTTTTAACCGAATTCGAAAAACTTGATGATTTTTTACAAACCGAACCCACTTCAAAAAACACTAATCCCTCAGCACTAACACACACACACACACACACACACACACACACACACTGTGCATATGTCATACACACAAACACAGAGCCTTACACGCAATCCTCAGTTCCTGACTGGGGAAGGCCACAGCTGTCACTCCCACTCAGTGCTGTCTGTGTTACCTTTGGTGAGCACATCATTACATCATCATGTACCTCATCATCATCACACCTCCCTCCCAGTGGATGTGATTGTTTCATACTGTCATACTGCCATCTGGTGTTCACATAATGTATCTGCAGTGCTGTGCTGTGATGGAGCCCCTAGTGGTGTGATCTTCACTCAGCAAAATGCCGGAGGCGGAATCTATAAATGATTAATAAATCATTTAGTTCATCCATTAAGCTTTTAACCTTGTGTTCAGCTTACATTCTTTGGCTGAAGAACAAAGGCCAGCACTAGACATGGCACTGTTGCATTATATGAATAGATGGTGAGGTTTGTGCTGCCATTGAAGTGCTGACTGTTGTTTTCGTTTTGTTTTCGTTTGTGGGTCAGCCGTCCCTTGTCAACCTGTTTTTAACTCATCTGTCTTCCTCTCATCCTCCTCTCCTCTCCTTTCTACCTCTCAACTGCTGGGTGGAAATCTCTCTCTTTCTCTCTCTCAAACTGAACCTCGTTCTTTCTCTTTAATAAAAAAAAAGGAGACCCCAGTTACCAGGATGCCAAAGCATGCGGACCCCCGAGTCACCGCACGTCACCCTAGCACGTCCTCCCTGCACCTCCCTCCCTCCTCCACCCACCTCTCTCCACCCGAGCACCAACACCAATACATCCACAACAACCACCTCTACAACCCCCCAGCAATGTCCCAGCACCCCCCTCAGCAGGCAGCGCGGCCCCCCTCCTCGGGGCCCTATCTGGGACGCTCAGGTAACCATCAGCCCCCTCCACCTCCAGTCATCAGACCACAGCACCATCCTGGCCCTATCAGAAGTAGATCACATTACACTCTCGCTTTGTCTGTTATCCCTTTCATTGTCTCTATATGTCTGGCCACACTACAGGGTTTAGGCGATTCCATACCAGCGGTAGCAGAAAATATTTTCGGTATCCCAGATTGTTCAGTCAATTCTCACATAGAAACTTCATTGGGAGGAAGGATGTTTGACATGCTTTTTACATGTGTATCACAAACCATTTTTAAGACTTAATGATCTGTGAACCGTACATGATACAGACAACATATTGATGTCATTATGCTCCTTATAGTGTGCTCTAACATATGGAGTATGTCTAGATTCTGAAATATGCATTTCCACATTAATTTATTCAACATTAAAAATATTAATATGAATATCTCAAAACTACCCTTTTGGAAAGAAAGTGTGACAGGGGACAGGAACAAATTGACAGAACTCTTTGATTGTATAGTGTGTTTTCCACTGTGCCTGTACTGAAATAGCTAGTGCTCTGCTTTGTTCTAATAATGATCTGCCCCACAGGAGATCACCAGAAGGGAGACCAGTTTCTGGCTGTGTTTGACCGGGGTGAAGCTTTCTCCCGTGAAAACTACCACAGTGTTGCACTGAGCTACGGCACGCTGCCGCGGGCACCTCGCAGGGTACCTCCTTCTGGGTCATCCTCTCTCCCCCAGCCCAGGGAAGGACGCAGCCCCGGCCCTGGCCCTGGGTACTACAGCCGCCCAGACACGGGCTACGCCACCCTCTCCCACCCCCGCCGTTCTGCCCCCCCTAGTGGCACCATTAACGGCTACAGGCAGCCCCCTCAACCAAGCAGGATCAACGGAACCCTACCCATCCGCCTACCTCCCCAACACCACCCAGCTCACCACCGGCTGTCCAGCGAGACCTCCACCCAGCCCCTCCGCCTGGACGTACCCCCGGATGTTGACTGGAGGACTCCCAACTACAGGATGGTACCACCATCCATGCCCATGCGGGACGCCCACCCCCTCCATCAGCCCACCCAGAAGCCTGACCAACCCCGAATGAGGGCAACATCCCGCGGCCCCGGTAGTGCCCCACTTTGTTCCCTGTGCCAACAGCTGCCCACCGAGCCCTCCTGCCACTACTGCCAGTCCTGTGGGGCCTACATGGCCCGCTTCCGGCATGCCAGCTGATCCAGCTCACCGTCACCCTAGAAACAGACCCAGTTTACTCCCAACACACACCCCCTCTTTCTCTCTCTGTCTTCTTTCTGTCTCTGTTCCCTGTTGAGCTATAGAAGTCAGACTCTAGTCCTGAGTGTTAAGGAGACTAACAGCGATCTTGGGGCACGTTGTTCTAGCCCTTTCGCTTTCCATTAATTACTGTCTATAGTAAAACCCCACCCCAACCCTCTTTAACCAGACAGGCCAACCACTATCTGGTCCTTAACCTGGTCTATTGCTATAGAGTTTATGTTTAGCCTCGTCTAAGGTTATTTAAAGATGATGTGATCCAGAGTGATGCCAACAACATTGGAAGGTCACAGAGTCCAGGCTGGGTAGAAGTGGGGTTGTGAAAGCCCCACTTGCACTGAGTGTCCACTGAGGTGGATGGCGAGAGGCATTGTGCTTCTTGGAGTTTAGGACACCCCTCACTCCCCCCATTGACACATCAGCACCAACACAGCTGGAGTTCATGGGTTCCACTGATGTTCCCAGGGGTCACAATAATACCCATGCTTTGAGGAAGCCTGTTACAGACGAAGAATGAAGATGGAAGTTGAGTTAACGTGTTCAGTCATTAATACTCTTAACAGGTGTGAGACAGTGAAATGGATGCATCATAAGGCTGCTTCCTCACACCAACCCTTCCCTGTCTGGATTGGAAGAGACAACACCCTCTCCCCCCCTCATTGTATTACTGACATTAAAACAGTACCCTCTGAGCTTTCAGATGTATTTACTTACTGTACTACTGTATTTATATTTTTTAGGGAGCCCTGGGTAAGTAGTGTATAGATTGTCAAACTAATCTATCGGTCTAACCTGTATATACTCTGCCATAGACCTGCTGTACTTTGCATTCTTTCAACTAGCTAGCACTGTCTGGTGATTAGAGCCCTCTTGTAGAATGGGCCTGTGTATCTCTCAGAGAGACAGGGGCTAAAGACCCTAGACGTTTCTCTTTAGGCTTTCCACAGTCCTGCAGCCATGCATGGTTGTTCAGCAGATCTACGACTGAGGGAATCGCTCAACTTAGTGTACGTTATAAAGTGTATATGAGATTTCCTTAGTGCAGTGAATTTACCTAACTGCGTTAACACAAGTTTAGTGCACTTCAGAAGTGTTAAGATAGTTTTATCTGTTGCTGTTTTATTTCTATTGACATTTCTCCCATTGTTACGGGAGGTGCTCAATGTTATTAGCCTATTTCTGTACTTTAAAGACTTGTGATATTTAGAGGATGGTGATCTGGAGTGCTAAGGAAGTACAGAGGTTTACACTCATAGAGAGAATGTAATGACAGTGTACACATCTGTATTTTAGGATACTTTACAGAGAACATAGATGGGAACTGACTATCAAGCTGTCAATTCAATGGCTTTTAACAAATCGTACTTGATGTATCTTGACCGTTAGAGCATTTACATTTTTTCTTGATCTTTTATCTTTGTGATGCGCTAGCACTGGGGATGGCTAATTAGTTCCTAATTGAAATCTCAACCCAGATATTACTAAGACGTTGATTTATACAGTAGCTCTGGAATACAACAAACGCAAACTTTGCCTCGTTTTTGAGGCAGATTTTAGATCTGATGATGTAAACTTATGGATCATTAGAGCCTCAATTACAGTGAAGTCGCTTTTTTGACTTGGGAGGAAAAGCAAGCTACAGCCTTATAAAATACACTTACGTTATCTACAATCTGAAATGAAGGAAATTACTAAATTATGTTTTGTTGCTTTCTACGATATTGCTGATTTGTTTTGGAATATTTGTACACTTATTTTTCTACACTGTAGATATGACTGAGGGCATATGAAGAGAATGTAGCTTAAGGAAGAAAGGTTGAGTGTCTTAAGATAAAACAATTGCTAAAATCATATGGTTAATAAAGAATTTAGGATGCACAACTGCAGTGCAATTCACCGGGTGTGAGTGGTGTTGTCCTTCTTTAGGGAAAACAGTCTCTGAAACTGAAATGTAACTGGATTGTTGCAGATGTTAAACACTTAACCAAAGAGTGCCACTTTAGTGAGAGTCATTTTGATGAAAAGGAATTAATAATCCTTAGTTTGTGTACATTATGCAACACTGCCCCCTCGGGGATTGCCAGTAGAAGAGCAGGTGACAGGTGTCCATTTTCTTTTTTAACATGCTAATATACAGATAGTGCGACAGCTGAACAGTGAACATTTGTGTACAGATAATGATAGCCTTCGAACTTAAATGTTAAGAGGATGTGTTTTCTTGGTAATATAAAGGAAGGTTTCCATTTTGGACTTAGTCTGTAAATGCTGTGCTAGCATATGGAACTTGTGTTTTTGCAATAAAGTTGTTATAAAGTGCTCCAAACAGGAGCAGAGTATGAAGATGGTCTGTTTCTGTGTGACTATGCTATACTATGCTATATTGTAGGCTACAACTAGGGCCCAGAGTTTTTCCAGGTCAGATCACGTGGTCAGGAAAAGCTCCTTGCCCTAAGATGCTCTATAGCCCCCATAGTCAACTGGCGGACCGCGGTCTGGATGGGGACCCAGAACGGGGTCAATACGGACTGTATTGGAACTTAGTCGGGCTTCGACCCCATATCATATAAACACACATAAGACAAGCGAAAAATTGTAGAATTGCAGGAAATTAGCTTTAAAACAGCAAAACAAAAATACCTACCCCATGAACAATGTGTAGAATTGCGGGAAATTAGCTTTAAAACCGCACAACAAGAAGGGTGTGAAGAGTTTGGGGTTGCCAGGTGAGGCTTTATTATTACGACGATAAATGGCAATATCCATCCGGAAATTTGTGTGACCGGACCTTCTCAAATAGTACTTGAGTAACCGTGCTCTATAGGTTAGTCACTCACTGACCTTAGTCAGTGTTAAGATATATGACGCTTCTAATTGTGGCCAGTAAGGCTGAGAGTGACTGTACAACAACATCCTGCTCCCTCTTGTAAAAAACCCTAAAGCACCCCAACTTGAGAATTTGGAAAAAGGTCAAAAGAACAGCTAACTTAGTGCTAGCTGACGTTTACCTCAAATTGACAGTGTGTGAATTCCAGTGTTTGCACATGAGAATGCCTTTGTGTGTGTATCTGCGTCAGAGAGAGCGAGATACTTTTAATCTCCATGTGCAGCGCTGTCTCAGCCAGCCTTCAGACTGCAGGGCCTTGAATGAAGCACACAGTACAGGGAATGACATGAATATAATATACCCCGGGAGGTGCAGAGGGAGGGAGGACTATGAAAATAGAACTTAATGCTGTTTATATCCTTCCCACTGAAGCTAACCCTGTAGGGTGAGGACAGCTTATACTATACACTGCAGTCTAAAGTAAGGTAACCTTTACAGCTGGGGTGGGTGTTTCCACTTCCTTGGGTTTGCTGGATTTGCAGGCTTTTGTTCCAGCTCAGCTCTAAACCTGATTTAACGAATCAGCCAATCATGGGCTGTGCTCAGAAGGATGAAATGTTCAGAACATTGCAGATAGAAATTAGGTGACATGTTCTCCAAAGGGTAATCGACACAGCATATTTCTAACTAAATGCTTTGTAACCTTGCGTCCTCCATCCATCTTGAAGAAGCTCATGGTCTTGAATGTAGATCAAAGTTATGTGGAACAGGCATGTTAGATCTGAGCTGGAACAAATATCTGCATAGTGCACACAGCTGGTTGGACTGCCCTTCTCTGCTCTAGTGGGTAATATACAGTGATTTTCCTGTTTCGGCTAGTTGAGATGATCTCTTTTTAGACACCCTGATGAGATATTCTGTTGTGCTAATTCTGTTAGAGACCCATAGAGTGTGTCCAGTATATTACCTCTGCTAAGAGGCAAAACCATAGAGGACCTGCACTCTTAGAAAAAAAACTACAACTGTTCTTCGGCTGTCCCCTTTGAAGAACCCTTTTGGGTTCCATGTAAAACCCTTTCGACAGAGTTTTCTACATGGAACCCAAAAGAGTTCTATCTGGAACCAAAAAGTGTTCTGCTATGGGACAGGCAAAGAACCCTTTTGGACCCCTTTTTTTCTAAGGGTGTAGATACAGACCAAACCACATACGGCTAATTATGTGGTTGTATTCGGTGATCCTCTAAAGGTAGTTTTAGTGAAGGGTTGTCATCATTATGGAGTTGTATTAGCCACAGAAATGATGGAAGGGATTCCTTGAAACAGATAATGTTCTGTTTTGATGGAAGGTTTAGAGGACGTTGCCTTGAACAGTTACATTAATCATCAATGTGCCATTATGGTAAACAGGAGAATAAGGGAAAAATTACTGTCCATGGGGTGTTACCCAGCCCTCCAAATGAAAATGAATAGCCTCCATTATCAGGGCCAATACTTATTATATCAATATTATAACTAGAGCCCAGACTTTCACCTGGTCAGGTCACATGGTATCATACTGTACATATTATGCATGCAGATCAGTGAGGCCAGAGGACTTGCCTAATGCCTGTTATAGGAGGAGAGCATCTCCACTGGGCTTCAATAATGGAATCAGGTTGCATTAACTCTGCATGCTAAACACTTCTCACACTCCCATTCTTCATTTCATTACATCTGACAGGCCGTTAGTGTGTCATGCAAAGTAATGACTGTGTCCCAATGTGTAATATGAATGAACAATGAATAAACAATGAACTGACTGAAATGGGTGCATGGATGCATCCTGGAGGCTTCTTAATTAGGTGGAGATGCTGCAATCTCAACCAGAAGACCAGATAGCCTGTGCGGTCTCAAATCCCCTGCACCCAGTTTTTCAAAACTTTTCTGAGCAGATTGCATTAAATCGTAGAATTGGTTATTTCAAAACTGAAAAATTAGAATGTGATCATTCGTATTAGGTTTCAGATTTGGTCATCCAATCTGACCTTTAAAGACCATCTTATAATTGAGATAACATTACAGAAATGCAAAAGCCCAGAATAAGATTTTGAGCAGGAAAGCCATGGCACGAAGGAAT